AGGATATGGCTTAGAAGCAATAACAGCACATTTTAGGCTGGTATATATTTGTGCTGTCTTAGTGACAGATGGAAAGCAATTTAATCATGGAGAAAAGCTCTTAACACTGTACTTGACAGGTATGTTGAATCCTTGCCGAGGCTGAAGTCTCTCGAAGAGCCACGTTACAGCTGTCCTTGCAGCTGCTGTCCCATGGCCCAGAAGATAGGAGCTGGCAAGCAGTGGGACATTTGTCTGTTGTCACTTATCTGTCATTTCTTTCTGGTCAATGCTAGGGATTGAATCTACAGAAAAGACAAGTTCAAGAGTGACTCACAAAAAGGATCCTGCCAAGGGATTCTCAGCACTTGGAATGAGAACTGAACTAGCTAGTTATGAAATATACAAAGACACTGTAAGGACAGATATGTACTGATAGGTTAATGAGACATAGTCAAAGTTTTATTTTCTTTATATTAAGAATAAAAAAAAATACGAAGAAAATACAGCTTTGACTATGTCTCATTAACCTGTTAGTACATATCTGCCCTTACAGTGTCTTTGTGCATTTCATCATTGGCTAGTTCAGTTCTCATTCCAAGTGTTGAGAATCCCTTGCAGACACTTCTGCAATTGGTGCTTTCCAGGTCAGGTTTAGCTTCCAGCATTTTTTCAATCAGCATGAACCTTGATGTGTGTGTGTATATATATATATGTTATAGGAATTGTGACTCTACAACCCTGCAAAGTTGAGGTTTAGGGGTGCACAAGCATTTTGAATCTGAGCCATCTTTGCTATAGGGCAAAATGAGATTTTAAAATCATTTGGGAAATGTTTCAAGCTTGAGACATAAAATTTTCCATTCCAAACCAGGGATTAACATTTCAGAACAATGCACATTCAAAACATTTTGTACAGTATTATAAACTATGATGCAATTTCCATTATCTTTGCTGCAAAGACTTATTGTAGCCATGATCAGCTTATGAATTATATTCAGGGAGAGAATGAGCTAAATACTATTTTTCTTCGCCCATCCTCACTTTCCAACCACCCTGTTGTTTTAGTTAAGGGATATTCAATACTTTTAACCAAATGGAAACAATTTGCTATTCTAACAAACATTCTTTATTATAATTCTTATTATAATTTTGCAGAAGTAAAATTACACCAGGGTGGAATCAAAATTCCCAGCTCTCCAAGCATTTCAGTTTAAACCTGAAGAATAAAATATGCCACATTTTCTTTAGGAGTAAATTGGTCTTGTCTTACAAAGATACTCATTTTGTATTAGAGGTATTTTTCTGATGTCAGTAAACATGCAGGGCCAATTAAAATATTATCTTACTTTCGGTGTTCTGGATTTGCTGTCATCTTCATGCCACCATATGACATTCCTGAAAATCCAGCTCATTCCTGTAATCTGAGAATCTGTGTGTGTTTTTTACAGTTGTGACCATTGAAAATAGCCTGACCTTCAATTACCACAGGCCTGACCTTTTCTGAAGCCCATAGTTAAATATATTTCTGTAGGCTGCTGGCTGTTTGTCTCCGTGGTGGCTAAAGTATTAGGAACACGGGTGTAAAACTCAGAAACTAAGCAAATTGCAATCACAAACAGTCAATATATGTATATATTCATATATAAGGAATTGAATACACATATTGGCCCATGCCCTGAGACAGTAACTACTGCAACAATATTAAAATTAACATGGTAAAAATAAGTTTGGAGACTTAGATGTCCCCCAGTCCATTCATTTTGATTAGGTTGAAAATCTATTACTCAAAAATGCTTTAAATTTTCTGGATGACTATTCTGACTAAATACCTTCAATTCTGTCTTAAATTGTTTTCTACATTTCCTCCAGGAACAAAAGGTGCCTTACAAGGTTTTCCCTAGCGCCTCCTCTTCCATTCTTATAGAAATCCTGTGGGTTACAGCAGATATGCTAAGATTGAGTAAAAGATTATTAATCAAAATGGATGTGTGGTATTGTGGTTATGGGCTAGAAAGCAAGGGACTGAATTCTAGTCCTCCCTTAGGACTATTCCAACTCACTGTAGAGGGTTCTTATTATGGGGAAAATAGGAAGGAGTATTAGATATGTATTATTTGTAAAAAAAAAAAAGCAAGGTGGGATATAAATAAATAAGCAAGCTGTTAAATATTTTAAGTAGTGCATTATGCTATACCTACAATATGAAGTAAAACAATGTTGTACTTCGAGATTTGTAGTCCAGCCAGATTCTTTCATAATAACCCATTCAGTTTCTCTCCTAGCTTTTTTTCCTGCAATATGTTCTGAGCATATTTAATATTTGAGATACACACAGTTCTTTAGGCTGTTGTTATGGTTGACCCTGATTTTTTTTTTAAATCAGTGTCCTCTCAGCCAAAAGAAAATCAATCCCTGCATTTGCCTAGGGGTTTTCAAACCTTTCCAGGCCATGGAACCAGATGTTTTTTAAAAAACAAAACAAAACAAGAAATCCTGATCAAAAGGCAAATCTCTAGTGATAGAAATTAGGCTGTGTTCTGGTTAACATTTTCTTTTGCATTTTGTTTTTAATGCCGTTCCAAGATTTTTAGAATAGTTGTTTGTAAATTAGCACAGCACTTCTGTTTTTCACATTGGAAATAATTTCATTGTGTATTTCTATTTAGGCAAGCTTCCCATTTGGGAAGATTGTCCCCAAATGGTTGTTCCCACCTCTAATGTGTTAAGACTATAAAATGTGATGGATGGGAATCTGTAGTGATGGATGGGAGCTGTAGTGTTCAGTACATCTTGAAACACTAGATCAGGGTTAGGCAACCTTGGCTCTTTTATGACTCATGGATTCATCTCCCAGAATTCCTGAGCCAGCATAAGAATTCTGGGAGTTGAAGTCCACGAGTCATAAAAGAGCCAAGGTTGCCTACCCCTGCACTAGGTCAATGAAGGGTGATCTAGACCTGGTGGTGAATCTTTTGGGCTCAGCGTGTCAAAAATTTGGAAAATTCCTGACTTGACTCTGTTGCCATGTCACACACACATTCTGAACAAAAAAAGAAACAATTCTTCACATATTCATTTATTTTATTTTATTTTAAAAAGTGCAGTATAATCATGTGTGGAATCCCCAGAATCTGCCATATACCTCTTATCTTCAGGTGATGCTCTCTTTCTGTGGACAGGCCCCTGAGGCCTACTGAAGGCAGTTCCAGGTCACATAAGGCCTTCGTTCTTGAAGGGGCTTCAGAGAACACTCTTCCACGGCCTCTGCAGCCTCCAAAAACTGTGCAAAACCATGCCTTGTTCTTGCATGATTTTTGGAGGATTTGAAAGCTTCCCAAGAACTCACCCAATTTTTGTGAGGCCTCCACAAATCACACAAGAACGGGCCATACTTTCAAAAATAGTTGGTCAAATATCGGTGAATGTGGGCAAGTCACCCAAAACATTGTGGGGTATCATAGGTTCGCCATCACTGATCTAGACTGGTTCAGATAAACAAAATAGCAATACAAACTCAACAGCATTCACATTCTGTATTCACACAGAGCGGTGTGTCGTTTTCATTTTGTAGAAGCCTTCATACTATATGTGCAGCAATTCAACTCTATTATGCAACTGCTAGATATAATTTTTATTACATGGTTGCATAGTGGAAAACCTTTCCAAACTGCACCAAAGAAACTGAATAATTATTATGGCCTGCTTTATAAAGTTGCAGGAAGCATTACCAAGATAAATATCAGATGTTCTAGCACAGGGGACCCCAACCCCCGAGCTGCATCTCACTACCAGGCCTTGAGCTGTTTGGAACCAGATCACAGAAGTGTTGGGCGAGTGTACGCGCGGATCCCCACTTGTGCGAGCAGCGGGTGAGTACAGTGCATGCACGCTCCATTTGTGCAAGCGGCAGGCACATGTACCCGCCACTCGTGTGGAACCATCCCCTCTTCCCCTCCTGCCAGTCCACAAAGCTGGAAAGGTTGTGGAATTGAATTCTAGCATGTCAGGTCAGACATAAAACACACACACAAAGACATAGGTAGCAATTCAAATATTAAAATTAGATGTTAGCATTACTTATATTTAAACAATAAAACCTCTGGATAATTAAAGGATGATATTTACAATAACTGCATATTGGTCCTTTAGTAGTATTCTTTTTAGTAGTAGTATTCTATTTCTGATTTGCAGTCTTTGTTAAACTACCTTCATCTAGTGTGTCTTAATTTCATGTCAACTTTGGGGGCTATGATCTAAATAAATATATATATATATATAAATCTAGCATTCTTTCGAAGAAGTCCACCCTTACATTGTTGCACACATAATTTTAAAATCCCCTAATAAATTGACTAAATCAGAAGAGAATACATCTTGTTCACATTGAAGCTATGTGCATTTGAATATCAGAAGTTTTTTTTAAAAAAACCAAATTTTGACCAAATTTAGCCAAGAAATTACATATCGGGACAACCATGTACCCACATTCCTTTTCTCAGAGTACCAGTTTTATAGTACTATTTGCTGCTGGCGGGACAGGTTTATCAGGAAAACTGAATACCCTGGTTTTAACATCCTACAGCCAAGGTTTACTGAAATAAACTCCAACTGGCTGGGCTCAAGCAATATTAGCATTATAAATTAACATGATACAGTACAACGGCTAGATTTAATGGGACAAGATGAGCCAAAAATAATGTGGTGTTTTTTAGCACAAGCCATTTAAGTCGCTCTCATTTCAGCTGGGCAACCTGTAGTCCTCCCAATGTTTACGAACTACAACTCCCGGCATTCCCGTCGAGGAGTCACTCTATTGCCATCAGGGAAAAATTGTAGCTCAGCCCTCTCATCGGGGCTTGCGACTCTGACACTGATTGAAGTTTGAGAATACACGTGTCTAACTGTACTGGAAGGGGACGTGCTTTTGCCGAGGTGCCGCGGCCAACCGTTCAAATGTTGCATTCCGAAGCGAAAGCAAATGACTCCCTCTAATCCATTGTGCAACTTCTTCCCAGCAATATCTCCTTTCGGCTCGCATTTCACCTTGCCTGCGGCGCCCCGCTTAGCCAAACCTTGGCGCCCTGCCTCTGCTTTCGCTTCCCCTCAGCTCAGTTTTTCGCTGCTGCAGAAGCAGCGTCGGCGGCTACAATCTACGGCTGCAGCGTCGTGCAGGCTGTGGGAGGAGAAGGAGAGCGCCAAAGAGAGGTTTTACCGGGCCTGCGCCCCAGCCTGGACTGTCCTTGCGCCTCAAGGCGCGTTTCTTCCTGCAAGCCCTTCGGGCGTCAGGCGGAACTCTCGGTTGCCCAATCCAGTTCCTCCCTCCGCAGTTTTGAACCTCTTCCCTTCTATAGTTCTGTCCTTTCCTTCTCTCGGAAGCCCGCCCGCCCGCCCAGGCCCAGCTCCCTTTCTGTGGCAACACCCGAGCCGCCTTTGCCCGCTGCGGCGTCCCAGGGTGAGTGAATCAAGGGCGGCCAGGCTTCGCCTTATATTTATAGACAACAGCAGTCGGGGATAATGGGGGCGAGAGAGGGGAGGGGGCTGGGTTGCACCCTGGCGCCAGGACAGGTCGCATTGTTCAGACGGAGAGTGACAGGTGCCAGCCCCTCCGGTCCCAAAGGGAGAGCGCCCTCTCCCAAGGCTCGGGCTGCAGACCCGCGGAGCTCGGGGGTCTTGCCTGCAGCCGCGATAAAGTTGCTGGAAGGAGAAAATTTGGGCGCCCCCAAGCTGCCCCCTCCCCTCCATCCTTCTTCAGCTCTTGCCAAATTGTTTTATGTGGATTGAGGACGGGCAAAATGTAAGTGTGTATCTGTCACGGCGGCTTTCAAGGTGACCCGTGGCTTAAACCCATCTCTTCATTTCTCTGCCTGGAGAGGGGGAAAAACAGCTCTCTGTGTGTTTAACCTTTGGTTTGTGTATCTGTTTCTTCTCCCTGTTAGGGATCCCTTCAGTCTTTCTGAAGTTAGTTTCTGCTACTGTCTGCAAGAGTGGAAAAGTCTGGGCAGTGAAGATGAGCCATCATGTTAAGCATACTCGGGTACTTCTTCTCAACGACATGGAGAAGCTGGACAAAACCCTGTTCCGGCTCGAACAAGGTCAGTATCCCTAGCAGCTGCCTGCATCTTTTCTTTTTCTTTTTTATTGTGCAAGCCTACTGGAGTCCTAGTTATCCCACTTTGCAATAGAAAATGCAAATGGTCGACATATCTCTGTTATGTTCTCTGCACATAAAGCTTTAGAAGGATCCCAGCATGAACACTGTAAAAGCCTGCATTTGAAAACTTGGAGGGGTTGAGAAAATAAATTGTGTGCATTTGATTGTAAGAGGTTACAGTCTTATGAAGAAGATGCCTATTGAAGGATTTCAAGGAACAGAAAGTAGTGCAACCACTTGTTGAGACATAATTGGTGGAATTATTTTAAGCTGCATTAAGCTGCATAATGCATGGAAGCATGCATACTGGAAAATAAGACTAGGTGAATTCAATGGGATATGTTTCCCTTTTCAAACAGTCATAATAAATTAAGTACTGTACTATTTGTCTTGTTAAAGGCAGTAGATATGGCGTTGCAAGTAAATTCACTGATAGAAAACTTCTGTTCTCTAAAGCTTCCAATTATTGTGGAATCATTTTGCTGAGTGGTTAGGCTTCATTAATAAATCTTTCATACATTTGTAGATACTTAAGCTAAAGAACCAATCAATTTAAGAGCTTCCTTCCAAGTAAATGGTTTTAAGATTGATGGGCCATCTTCTACACCAAGAAGATCATTCTGTTCTTTTATATATTATCTACAAATCATTTGGGAAAAATATTTAGATTATACAATTACAGATTTTAATATAAGGAGTTAATTTCAAACAGATCTTTCCATAGTAAGAGGAAGAAGAACAAATGCCTGGTATTTTAGAGTTTATTAAAACACATTACAGTTAAAATTAGATTTATAAAAAATGCAAAGAATAAAAGAAAAAGCAAATTTGGATGTGATGCTACAGTGAAAAGCCATAATATCCTTAAACCCTATTCCTCAATATGGAACCCTTTCAAGTGTTTTCCTAACTCTACTTGAGCCAAGTTGGCACCTCTCCAAAAGAGAGATACTGATTTCACAGTGCAGCCAATGAAGCTAAACTTCACCCACATAGTTGGATTGCTTTAAATGTTATTCTAAGTACAGAGGAGCTATTTGCAGGAAAATGGCTCCTGTGCATCTATAGTATCTTATCAACTCTGTCACATCCAAAATAAAATATTCATATTTCTTTTATTTGTGGACAAAAAAGTTGCTAAAATTACATTTCAGTATTACTGTCTAAAAAAACAAGTTTTAAGCTATTTATGCTTTATTTGCAACCTTTAAATGAAGTTAATGTGTTTACTTTCTGTAACTGTTACAGTAATGATTCTATCTGAGGTAACATTTATGGATTTGTAAATTATAAGACCTATTTGTAAATCTTTTCCTGAAATCAGAAAGATCTGATTACTAAAAAAAGAATGCATTTTGTTTTGAAAAGTAGAAATCTGCTATTATTCTGTGATCCTGAATGATTATGACAATATTATTATTGTCACATGCATTAAATTATTGCTTCACAGAAAGAAGTTGTGAAGGATATCTAGCTAATTTGAATAATATAGTTTTTAAGTTGACACAGTTTCTGGGAAATAAGTTGTTATGCAAATATCTTTGTAGTCCAGACTATGTTTAGCAGATGCCATAAATATAGACCTGTCAAACTTTAGCAAAAGCATAATGATCAAATGTAAGACTTATGAAAATAGACTTCCTTAGGATTAGACTTAAAATTACTTTTTTTCTTCCTGATTTTTTAGGATATTAAAATATTGTAGTTACAAATTGTTCCCTTTTTGTACCTGTCCTGATTGGGATGTACTGTACATAAGGATGTATTGATTATAAAACATACTTTGATCTTTAAGTGTATTTGTTTTAAATGTTGGCTAGCAGGCATTTTAAAATGTCCTCAATGCAGTTTTATGGGATTGGGAAAAATGAGGAAGGGCATTTAACTGGCTAATGGAAGGTGATGAAAAATAGATCCTTTTACAAGTAGACTGTCTCTTATGGTCTGTTCTTCTCTTTTCCTGGGGTGGGAAGCAAAGGGAAGGGGAAACATTGCTTCTATAGTATAGAGAATGGGTAGATGCCCCTCAGATTGCCACACAAGAATGGGATCATGCTACCTTGGCTGGGCAGGTAGGGGAAGGAAATCCAAGTGTTTATTTGGAGTAGGTGCTGAGCTAAAAGTTCGATTTCAAATTACAGAGCCCCTCACAATTTGCACAGCATTGTGGGGACACAAATGTGGCACTGAATCCAGATTGGTTCAGCCTTATGATAGGAATCCAAGACAAGGTTTTTCTAATAAATGTCTGTCTTGCTTTCTTCAGGTTATGAGCTACAGTTCCGTTTGGGCCCTACTTTGCAAGGCAAGCATGTTACAGTGTATACTAACTATCCAGCTGCTGGAGAATTGTTTGATCGTCACAAGTTCAGATGCTTAACTTGGCACAACCCAACAGGAAAAGAAGATGATTCTGACAAATATTGTAAATTAGAACTCCAGATTTCTGGATCATATCAATATTACTTCACTCATGAGTAAGCAAAATCTAAAAATGTCTGGGAGAGATATCATAAGCAGTTGTCTTCTCTGTGGGAACAGGGGTATTAAACTTGTCTTGATAACGCTTTTTTCGGTAGTGGTGGAGTAGGCCATATACCAAAGGCAGCTTCCCGTGTCTGAGAATCTTCAGCTGTGTCAGGTTCACCTAAGGAGACACGTGAAGAGAACAGTCCATGAAGACCCAGTCTACACCTCAGACTGATTTACACAGTTCCCCACGCTTAGAAATTGACATTTTCATTCCAGTGAGGTTACTACATGTATTTGCTTTGCTGCATAGTATGCCTTCACATATTTGGTATTGATGAACACGTGTACTCATTTTTGTTCATGAGGGTGAATCATAATATAATGGTGTGTGAGAATGTTCTTGGGAGACGGAAGGAAGAGCAGGAGCAGCAGCAGACTAGGCAATGATCAGACAATTGATAGCTTACCCTGTGGGAACAATGGGGGCATGGCATATGTTTCAGGTGGGGTTGTCCCTGATTTCTTGGACTATAAAGGCAAGGTCCAGAACAGATGTATATTCAGACTCACAAGGTTCTATTACTGTAACCTTACAATAAAAGTAGTGTTAATACTGCACTCATGGTTGGTGCTTCTTATCTAGACTATGGTTAATGGCTGACACATAACTCAATATTGCCTGCTATAAATAGGAAGTAATAGCAACCCATCATTTGTCTACTTGAAAACAATTCACTCTGAGTCAATGGGGCTTTTTTTGCAAAAAAAATGATCCTATTGCTAGCCTGCATTTCTAGCAGTGCAGTTCTGCATATCAGAGGAGTGAAGCCTAAGTCCCAGGGCTTCATAGACTTTCAAAAGTTATCCAGGTATAGCTTTTGGTGTGAAAAATATCAACTAATTTAAATGTATGTAATATTCTTGTTCTAGCCTCTTCTATTATTTGAGAACTTTGGCTCCCATCACACTACTCAGAGACAAAGTGCAGCCCTTAAAATATTGCAGGTCTTTTTATATTCATAGTGTTTTCTACTCTGGTGCCAAGGCATAAGATTACAGTCTTACATCTTTCTTTTAAAGGGAAATCTTCTAGGTTGAAAGGATTGAAAATATTTTATAAAAGGCAATAACATAATTGATTTTTTTACATTTGCATTTGATCAAAGTGAAAATATTCTTGAATATAGATTGTTTTGTGTCTGGTTTTATTTTTGCATTATTCCAAGTGATTAAGTAGGTTTTCTTGAATTATTTATTTTGTGATCTGTAAGCTAGAAAATTAAAAAAAGTTGAATTGCATTTTCAAATAAGCTAAACAAATTCTGGGTGAATATTAATTATCTTACTGAGTGAAGATAATGTCTATTTTCTTTGTACTGATATAACATCAACACTTGTGTCTTTTATTCCAGGAATCAGAAAGGTGGTGGAGGTTATCTAGTTGTGGATCCTATTTTACGGGTTGGTGCTGACAATCATATCTTGCCCTTGGATTGTCTTACACTGCAGACATTCCTAGCCAAGTGTCTGGGACCATTTGATGAATGGGAAGATCGTCTTAAAGTTGCAAAAGAATCTGGTAATAGCCCCATTTGCCCCAAGCCAAATTTTGACTTGAGATATAAAGCGTATACTACTTTCAAAAGTCAATTGTGTATTTTCACCTTTTGGACTATGACATCCATTCATTATATTTATCTATCATCTTTATTCTAGTAATATACTGTAAAGAGAAAGGAAGATGACGTTGATGGAGATAGGCAGAGATCTGTTACCAAAGTGATCAGGGAAAACATAACTTAAGTCCCAAGCAAGAAGAAAGTATGTGGAAGCTGCTCAGATAAGCATTTCAGTAATTCACATGAGAATGGGAGAAGATTCAGTACAATCATACTTGCAGGATTCTATTTTTTACAGTCACCCTCAATACGTTTTAGTCTTTCTGTGGAGATCCCAGTTCTGGTCTCCCTAATGGGGGCTGACGTACACTAAAAATTCCAGGCAATCTCTGATCTTAGAATGGAGTATCCTCAGGCCTACCCAGTTTAACCACTTTTTTTTTTCCTTTGTAGTTTCAAATCATAAATACTACCTAGTTTGTAATATCTGTCCTCTTATCCACTTGAAAGTGGAAAGCATCTGTTTATATATTTCATTATTATTATTTTACAGGTTATAACATGATTCACCTAACCCCAGTGCAGAAACTCGGTCTGTCTAGATCATGTTACTCATTGGCTGATCAGCTGGAAGTTAATCCTGACTTTTCATCCTCCAGCAAAAAATGTTCTTGGAATGAAATGGGAAAACTGGTGGAAAAAATGAAAAATGAATGGAATATGCTTTGCATTACAGATGTAGTCTATAATCACACTGGTATGGTTATTTTCATTTTATTTATTCTCCTTATTGCTTGCTGATTTGCAGAGAGGCTGCCATCACATAATCATTTTCATGTGTGTCCAAATTCTGTTGGTTTTCATGTACATAGGCATGTGAATTTATTTATATGAATAGCATTAGAATTAGTTCCTTTTGGCACTGACTGTACTTCCTGGTTTGAAGAACAAAGACACCGTTAATCAAAAGTGATGTAAATTTACATTTAATTTTTTTAAGTGGCCCCTGGTTGATATTAGCTGAAAAAAATCCAATCAGTATTTCATCTTAGACATTTGAAAACAGTTTTAACTTGTGGTTAAATCATGTTTTCCTTTAAGATACTTTACAAGTAGTCTTTGGTTTTTACAACAGTTTAGAAACTGTTTGAAGATAGGATGACATTGAAAAAGTGACTTACCACTATTCCTTGCACTAACGATCGATCGTCACAGCATTCCCACAATCAGATGATCAAACTCCAGGTGCTTGGCAACTGGCATGCGTTTATGATGGTTGCAATTTCCTGGGGTCGTCTGTTTTGTGACTTTCTCAGCCAGCTTTTGACAAGCAAAGTCACTTAACTACCATGTAATTTACTTACCTGGCAAAAAATGGACATAAAATCAAACACAACAGCTGTTTTCCTTAGCAGTGGAAATTCTGGTCCCATTTATGGCTGTATGTTGAGGGCTACCTGTAGTTAATTTAAAATCTATAGAACAGAAAGATCAATAAATTTCGGAAAGCTAAATTATTTCAGGAAGCTAAATAAATTTATTTATTTTTCAAAAACTCAACTTTTTGGCCATTTAACTTTCGCCATACAAATGGTACCATTGAATGGGCAGTCTTTCGCATTCATGTAAAAAATATGGAGATTGAATGGCCTTTTTAAAATAAATTTACATATACGTTTGATTTTAGAATTTTTTATAAGAATATTGGTTGTTGTAAAAAATTTCTTGGTTTTGCTCTTGAATTTCCTTTGTAAATCAAAGTTATAAACATAAAGAATTTTTCTATCCTTATGAACCTCTTTCAGATTTGCTCCTTATTCAGTTTGCCCTTTTTTTTCCCCTAGAAAAATATGGTCACTTTGGTGAAGTGCCTAAAATCTTCCAGCTACTAATTGTGTATTTCTTGTTTTTCTAAGCTGCAAACAGTGAATGGCTGACTCAGCATCCCGAGTGTGCATACAATCTTATAAACTCCCCTCACTTGAAACCAGCCTGGCTTTTGGACCGAGCTCTTTGGCATTTCACCTGTAAAGTGTCTGAGGGCAAATACATTGAAAAAGGACTGCCACCACTTATCGAAAATGACCAACATTTGAATGTAAGAAAACACAGAAATTATTGATAGTGCATGCCATCACTGAATGAAAGCAATTATTATGCCTACTTTATTGTAGTCCTGTTCTGGAATTATTCATTTTGCTTCCCGCCTTGTCTCCTTTTTCATCTTTCAAACGGTTTCTTCCAGGATATTTTTTAATATATTGTTTGTGTAGTGGTTTCTGTCATATGTTTAAATAGTTCTCATGTGCTTTTAAAATTATATTTCCAGCATGGTTTCTTCAAACTAATACTTTGTTTCATTACAATCTGCTTACCATGAATTATTTATTGTTACTTTGTAGATGGCAACACAAGGCATCATATACAGTAATGTTTCCACTGTAGTTTTATTGACATAATGTGCTTTAAAAATAATCAAAAATACTTTTTATTATTTGTTTTCTTCTGAAAGAATAACAGTCATATTGTAGAGTAGTGGTTCTTAACCTGGGCGATATCGCCCCCCAGGGGGAAATTTCATTTTTCAGGGGGGCGAAGGAACGAAAAGGGGGCGATAAGGGGGCGATGGAGCGAGAAGTTTTGGGGACACTTTTGAGACTTTTTCGTACAGTGAATGGCTGTATATCTGTCGTACGAAACATCCGATCGCTCGTTCTTAGTGGATTGAATTGTGTTTTCAAATGTTCCTCCAGCCAGTTCCTACGCATCACTTATCTTCATGCGTGTTGCGCAGCAGCCTCTACCCATACAGTGGCGCGCCATTAGCCAGAATATGGGAGATATGGGAAAAAAGACTGGAAATAAATTATTTGCATCGATATGTCCTGATGACAATTTTAAAGAAAACAAAAAAAGGGTTTGCATACATTGAAAAATTATTTCCTATTTTGTGATTCAGAGGTTATGTTGGGGGAGGGGGGCGATGACAAATTCCTCATCGGCTCAAGGGGGCGATTCGTTCCAAAAGGTTAGGAACCACTGTTGTAGAGTAATGATATTTCAAAACAATTTTGAAACAAATATATTTATAGACTAGTGAATGGTGTTTGAAATGCTAAATTTTGTTTATTTACTGACTTGATATGCTTCTTATTTTTCCAGTGTATCCGTAAAATCATTTGGGAGGATATTTTTCCCAAGGTAAAATTATGGCAATTCTTCCAAGTTGATGTTGAAAAAGCAGTGCAGCAATTTAAAACTCTTTTAACGAAAGGTAAACAAAATAACTCAGATTCTTGATAGTATAATCATCAAAGAAACAGTGATTGGTATGAAAAAATACTTTTGCAGGAAAGGGAAATGCTTGATCATTTTTCTGGGTACATGGAGAGAAATAAAATTATTTTGATTTCAGAAATCACTTATCCCACATCAATCACATGTTTTTGTCTTGTCTGTTGTGAGAGGGACGGATGCTAGCAATCCCATTTGAGTTCCAATTGGTACACCCTGATCTAGCACATATTCTGAAAAAGTGGCCAGGTGTGCATAATTTTAACAGAACTGGAAACTAGTCTTTCTGTAGGATTATTGAAATTTATTACAGGATATCAGGAACAATGAACCTGGGTAACAGTACTTAAACTTGGGTTGTATCTATGTCTGATTGCATTTGAGCTTTCAGAAAATTTAAGAATTGCTGTCCTAAATAACAATATATGCCTTGAAACTGATCACAGATTCTCTGCAACAGGTAGCTCAAAGGTTAAAACTGATCCCAGTCTAAATCTTGCAATCATTCAAGATCCTGAATTTAAAAGACTTGGCTGTACTGTAGATATGAACCTAGCACTGAATACCTTCATACCACATAGGTATGTATTTTCTAAAGACAGCATTAAATTTGTCATTTGGTGATCAAATCATTGTCAATACATCATTTACAGATGAGGAGGAATCTCAGAAATGTATGACTTCTATTATAATTAGCTTGCTGCAGTTCATGGCCAGAGATGAAACCAGTTGCTTTTTTTCTACACTTCATTTTTATTTATTTATTTAGAAACTCTTTAGAATTGCTCATATCTGCAAGTCTTCTGGCCTGTCCTTGGTGTATGTATATTTAATGGAAAAACAGTTCTTTTTTTAAAAAAAAAAATACAATACATTGCAAACACTTTTAAGATCATAGCTTACATTAAGAAGCATGCTTAATTATAAAAGTTAGTTAAACTTTGTGCCAAATCAGACTACATCCATTTCCTTCCTGATTATGCAAACACTAAACTCACATTTTTACTTGTTCTAAAGATAGTCCCTTTCATTCTTGTTTTTTTAGCAATGGACCAGCTGCAATAGAAGAGTGTTGCAACTGGTTCCGCAAAAGAGTTGAAGAACTAAATGATGAAAAGTTCCGACAAACAAATTACCATCAGGAGCAGGTTGTAATAATCACGGGTCACATGAACATTGTAGCTTGTACTCTTTATTGCATACTTATGCTGAACACTTAAATATTGATTGTATTAACTTTTTAATGGCTTCCAGGCTATCAGCTGTGTTTTGGCAACAGTGAGCTACGAACGTCTGGCTGGTCAAGGTCCTAAGCTTGGTGCTATAACTAGAAAAGATCCATTGGTTACAGGGTATTGTATCTTCTCTATTTTAAATAAAAAGTATTTTTAAAATGCATGTTTTCCTGAATGATGATATATAAGAATTGTTTATGCTCCCTTAAAAGGGAAGCTTGATAATATAATTGTGGTATAAACGTAAAAATGACGGGGGTTCTTTTTACCTAGGGTATATATCTGAATTGTAAAGATATATGCAATTCATTTATTAATTTAACCCATTTATGAAATTACTTAGCAAGTCTAGGTTACATGTACCAATGTAATGAATACAGATTTAAAAGAAAAAAGAAAAAAAAAATCAAGCAGTTATACAACACATTACAGATAGTCCTTGACTTATGTCCACAACTGAACCCAAATTTTCTCTTGCTAAGCAAATCAGTTGTTAAGGGAACTTTGCCCCATTTTACGACTTTTCTTGCTACAGTTGTTAAATGAATCACTGCATTTGTTAAGTTGGGACCACAGTTGTTAAGTGAGTCTGGCTTCCCCACTGATTTTGTTTATCAGAAGGGCGCAAAAGGTGAGCCGAGGTGGCGCAGCAGTTAGAGTGCAGTACTGCAGGCCACTTTAGCTGACTGTGTTCAGCAGGTCAGCGGTTCAAATCTCACCGGCTCAAGGTTGACTCAGCCTTCCATCCTTCCGGGGTAGGTAAAATGAGGACCCAGATTGTTGGGCGCATTGTAAATATATATATACATTGCTTACTGGTGTACACCGCTTAGAGAGTGCTTGCACTTAAAGCGGTATATAAGTCTCATAAATAAATTAAATAAATAAATCACATGACATCACATCACAGTGCAGCCAGATGTCCGAAATTTGATCACGTGGTGCAGTCGTCATAAGTGTGAAAAATGGTCATACATCACTTTTTTCAGTGCTGTTGTAACTTCAAAGAGTCACTAAACGAATGGTGGTAAGTTGAGAACTACTGTACAAATCCATAACAGGGAACAGCATAAGCCCATCACAATCATTCTGCTCCAGGTCCTTCTGAGGTAAGGTCAGCCATTGAGAAAGTCATTTAAGTCAGATTTTTCTAAACAAGGATTATCAGATTTAAAACAAGCCATAATTTTAATTTAGCTTTAAACCTTGGTTTATATTCTAGTTCATCTTAATTAACTAAATTTCCAACTTCTGATAATATGGTTACTAAAATATAGCCAGTGAAGTTAGAATTTAGTTCTCGATGTTGTTGAAGATGTGATCATAAATATTGTACCTGTAAAAAATAGACAGCTATCTTAACTGCATTGGTAGTATCCAAATTGCATTGATAGTATCCAATAGTGCATTTTTAAATATTTGAAATTAAATAATGATATGTGTGTGTGTGTGTGTGTGTGTAAATATTATTTCTGAAATTGCTATTTAATATTTTCATATGATTTTTTTCAACATTCCTTGTGGTGATGGCCTATTTCAGTGGTGGCGAACCTATGGCACGGGTGCCAGAGGCGGCACTCAGAGCCCTCTCTGTGGGCACTCGCGCCGTCGCCCCAGTCCTAGGCCTTCAGCTGGGTTTTATAAAATCTTTTCGCTTTAGGCCTCCGCCACCATGTGCAAAAAAAAAAAACAAGGTTCAATCAGTCAATTTCAACTTCTCGCAGGAAAAAAAAAGATCTTGCAAAGTTGGAATTGATTGATTGAACTTTTTAGTCCCACCCAGTCTGCCGTTACCACTGCAGCCATGCCCACCCAATTGGCCACATCCAGCCAATGGGCCACACCCACCCGGCACTCAACGATGCATAAGTGGGTTTGGGGTTGCAGTTTGGGGCTCAGCCTCTTAAAGGTTTGCCATCACTGGCCTATTTGAAGGACATTTAGTAATGATTTCAGGTTCTTTCAATAAAACAAAAATGTTTGAATGCATAGGGGAAATTAAACTCATGAACAGATTTGGGTGACTTATACAATTAAGTAACAAAAACATGTTAGTATGTTTCTAGTTTTGAAAGTTAAAATACAATAACAGACTAATCATTTAGATCTATTGCATGTGATGATATCTATCAGGATGTAGATAACTATATCCATAATTCAGCTGTAGAAAGATAACTATAAGCTGGAAGAAAAAAAAATCAACATTATTAAGTTGGCTAGGGGAAAAAACAATACTTGTGTATTCTTGCAATATTATACATGTAATTATTCCTCTTGAAGAAATTTTACTAGTTGTTTATCAATATCCACTTCATTGTTCAGCAAGGTAATTATTGCACGTTGCAGGTACTTTACTTACCCATTTAAAGAACTAACCCTGGACGAAGAGGAAGCTATGATGCATCAGCCTAGCAAAGCAAATTATTTTATGGCCCATAATGGTTGGGTGATGGGAGATGATCCTCTGAGAAATTTTGCTGAACCAGGTTTGTGATCTTTCTTGGTTGCTTGAACTACTTGAATAAAGCATTTTTTTTTTAAAATAGCCTCCATCCATGATTTAGTTTAGATGATGTCTGCCAAGGATTAATTAATTTCAGCCCTTCAGTTGTGTATTCAACTGACACACAAATTACATCTTTTGTAATTTGTGTATCAGTTGAATTGATTTTGAAAGACTCTCTATTTTTTTTTCTGCCTACCCAGTATCAATGTCTATAATTAAAAGGAATAACCAAGAGAATGACCTGGATAAATTTTTCTACATTGGATTTACAAAAGAGGCTTGTTAAAGTTTTTAAGAACATAGAAGAACATTAAGAATTTTGTGAGAACAAAATAAAAAAAAGTCAAGTTCTAAGATATTATTTAAATCAGCTGTTAATTTTTATTGTTACAATTGTATTTTTTAAAAAACAATTACTATAAAAATAAATTAAAATAATTTAAAATGAGTAAGAATATTGAAACCACAATTACTATGTTGTACCTAAATTAGAATTTTCCTTTATATAGGCTCAAATGTCTACCTTAGAAGAGAACTTATTTGCTGGGGTGATAGCGTCAAGCTGCGTTATGGGAATAAACCAGAAGACTGCCCATATCTTTGGGCTCACATGAAAAAATATACTGAAATTACTGCCAAATATTTCCATGGAGTACGTCTTGACAATTGCCATTCTACTCCTCTTCAAGTGGCTGAGGTATAGAAAAATACATTTATACATGGTTATTTGTGATATTAGAAAAATATATCCATAGCAGATGCAGATGATAACTTTGACTTTTTCCTTAGTTATTTTTACAATAATCGTGCAAGGTAAGCTATGGTTATTAGACTTTATTGCAGATAATGGCTTAATCTGAGACATCATATGATCCTCCAATAGTAAAATGCCGCTTCAGTTATGTTGGTATCATTCTAAAAATGCTCACATTTTTGAGTAAAAGAATCTGAATCTAGTGTAATATGAGGCTTTTACAGGAGAAGATCATCTGTTTGGATATACCTAAAATATTAAAATTAAGCTTGGCTAAAAAATTAACCCTGATTAAATGCTATTGAAAGCAGTGTACCGTAAGATAAGTACAACTAATCTGACCGTAGCAAATTCACTTTCTCATCTGCAAATTGTGCCATAGACGTAACCGCTTCTTTTTTTCCCTTATCATCTGCTTCACATGACTTGCTTTTAACCATGATTTAATGCTTTTTTCCATGAAGCAAAGTTAAAACAGGGGAAGATAGCCTAATGTCCTCAACTTCGTTAGCCTTCAAACAAAGCCAGCATGATCTGTAGCAATAGATTGAAATTCAAAACATCTGAAGAACTCTGCTTTCAATGTTAGAATAGGGAGACCCAGGTACTCTCTTTATTGAATAGCAATAGCAATTGCACTTAGACTTGTATACCACTTCACAGCGCTTTATAGCCCTCTCTAAGCGGTTTACAGAGTCAGCACATTGCCCCCAACAATCTGGGTCCTCATTTTACCGACCTCAGAAGGATGGAAGGCTGAGTCAGCCTTGAGCCCATCACGATCGAACTTCTGGCATTGGGCAAAATTAGCCTGCAATACTGCATTCTAACCTTTGTACCACCACGGCTTAGTGAATGGTGCTCAATAGATGATGTTGGGTTATCACTCTCAGTTTAGTGGATTATTGTCGGAATAAATAGGGATGCTGCTGCTGAGATTTTTTTTTCATGAAGAAATGGGGTTGCAGGTGTAAGTTGTTGAATGAAAATGCACATTTAAATTCTAACTAGGATTAAGGTTAAGCAGAATTTGACCTTGGCATGCAAATTATGATTTTAAAAGGCCTGGTTAACCTTAAACATAACTAGAATACTATATTATACAGGTGCTCCTCACTTAATGGCATTAATTGGGCCTGGAGTTCCTGTTGCTAAGCATCCAGTTGTAAAAAGCAACATTGCATGACTTAGCAATGGCAGATCTGGAAGATCCCAGTTACCACTGATAAGCGAATCACTGCAAGTCATCAGTACCATTTGTTCAGTCCTGTCACAAGATTTCAACAGTCACTGGATCAGTGTTGTTAAATGAGGACTGCCTGCGCTGCACTGTTTGAATCAAAAAATTATGTAGATATGTCTCTATCATTCTTCCCATTTTAATTTATGTTTTTACGATGTTTATATGTTGTTATTATTATGGAAACCATAGTAATTAGAGAATAATGGACTGGATGTCCTATATTTGTCAGAAAAGCACGTGCTGTAAGATACTTTTTTTAAAAAAAGAAAAATGTGTTACAATCTATAGGAAATGCTGGCAGCAGCCAGGTCGGTCAGACCTAATCTTTATGTGATAGCTGAACTCTTCACTGGCAGCGAGGTCATTGACAATGTCTTTGTCAACTGCCTAGGAATTACCAGTCTGATTAGAGGTACCGCTAAAAAAAAAAAAAATGCTTGAAAGGTTTGTTGCAGGATTGCTGTGTTTATATAAAGTCAAAGTCTCTACGTGGAACTAATTTTGTCTTTTTATTTGTATGTATTCTTGTATCCTTGGCCAATTCAAACACCTTTCCCTCTCTCCTTTTGATTTTTTTTCTCTTCCCTCTCATTCTTCATTCATTGTCTTGGGCTAACTTTCTTGAATCTTCATAACTGCACCTTTTTGGTTCTTTAAACCTTTTGGCTTCCTAATTTGGTTTTGCCGCATGGCATTTTTCCCTGATCTCCAAATCCATGCCTAGCTTTGCATTCTTTTTTTTCTCGCTGCTCTGCATTTTCCTATCTGTGGCTTCCTTGGCTATGCTTCTTGCAGTATATGATGGACACAGCTAGAAAATTACGCTCCAACTTGTATATAGTGGCTGAACTGTTCACTGGAAGTGAAGAGCTGGACAATATCTTTGTGAATAAATTGGGCATTAGTTCTTTAATAAGAGGTAGGCTTGCTTTAAATTGCTGTTTTATTTCGTCTTTTATTATGCATGATTTTCTGTGAGTGCCTTCCCTTTTTTATAAACATGTGATGCTATAGTTTCATCATTATTATAGATGAAAATTAGAAGAAGATGGAAGTAGGTCAACAAAATAATGAATTGGGAGATAATTTTGTATAAATGTTGTATTATATCTCATATGAACAACATGTATTGTATATCTTGTTTGGTGTAGATGTGATGTGCTTTATCTCCCTAATCATAACCAAAGGATAAGGAATAAGGTATCTGATCAGGTCAGATACTTGGCTATATTCATAGATTATAAGGGATTACTTTAACATGGTTTGTAAAACGTGTTATATTGGTTAGGATATATTGGAACTGTGCCACATTCACTGTTGATGAAGGCTTGAAATAGGCAAAGCCTGCTTAAGTATCTATGTATGTATTCATTTCATTCATTCATTCATCTGATTTTTATCCTGCCTTTATTATTTTAAAAATAACTCAAGGGATATGGAATTAACCACATTTAAACTTCATGTTGACATTGCTAAATGCTTGATAGGGTAGGAAATGGGAGGGATGTGGCACATTATCAATCGTTTGATTAAGATGACCAAGAGACTCTATGTTGCTTTTGAGATATATTAAACTACAAGATAGTTGTGTTTGATAAATACAGTCATGTTGAACTATGAGGCTTTAGGCTTGCTCAAATGCTTCTTTTATCATTCCAATACCCATAGATTTTAACTTCAAGATAGTGTGCATGAAGTCCCGCATCACTACCAGCTACGCCCAAAGTGGAAATCCCATCAAAAAGATATTTTATTATTCTTTAAATCCTTTAGTCAGGAAAATCATAAACATAGCATACACTGACTTGTATTATATCTCATATGAACAACATGTATTGATAAGGTCTTGGATTGTGCATGTTTTGGGACTCAAGGAAAGCAGAGCTTCCATATGACCTGTGTGGAATACATGTTTCTGTTGGCTGATCACAGATTGGGGTTTATGGCCTGAATGACTATTAACATGACTCAATAAGTTCCGAAAATTTAATGTTCTGATGAATGATTCTAGAAATCAGTGTCCATTTAAAGGGATTGGTTTTGTTGTCCTGCAGAAGCAATGAGTGCCTACAATAGCCATGAGGAGGGTAGGTTAGTCTACCGCTTTGGTGGAGAACCTGTTGGATCTTTCGTCCAGCCTCGTTTGAGGCCTTTAACACCTGCTATTGCACATGCACTCTTCATGGACATAACACATGATAATGAATGTCCAATTGAGGTAAGCATTGGCACTGTAGTGCTCTCTGGTTGTTTAAGGCATCACTTTAAAGATCTGATAAATATTATGTATTAAATAGCATAATCCATGTTTTGACTCCTTCATAAAGACTCCTTCATATAGACATTCATAAAGACGTAATCCTGCTTTAATATCAGCGGACTTTTAATTTTATACTAAAAATATGTTTTAATGTGAATGTTGAATGCAAATTAAACTTGAAACACACAAATACAGGTAGTTCTCAGGTTATCAAGACCTGTTCAGCAATCTTTCAAAGTTAGAATAGCAGTAAAGAAGTGGTACCCAAGACCGGTCCTCAAAGTTCTGACCTTCACAGCATCCCCATGATCATGTTATTACAATTTGGGCACTTGACAACCAGCTCACACTTAAAGCTTAAACACTGTGCAGTGTAATGGAAGGCTTAGATGCATTCATATGTTCTCCATTTGTGACCTTCCTTGCCGGCTTCCCATAAGCAAAATCATTGTGGGACTTTCATTTGCACCACTTTTTCTTCCAAGGATCCCCACGATGGAATTTGAGATTCCAGGGATCCCGTGTCCATGGCACTTGTCCATACTCTGTAATGCGTGTCTAGTCCAAATGCCTAGACACTCATGCTATGCAGCATGCACTCAATAGCCTGCCCACACTCCTCAGCATTAGGCCATGGCACCTCACCCTCCAGTAGTATATTGTGCTCCTTTCCTGGGGCTCCTGCCTCTTCATGGTTAATAAGCTGTATGGTACTGAGGTTACCACATGTCCAAATGGTTTGCCCTATTACAAGAGCAACAAATGAAAGTTTTATATAGCAATCTGGGTAATAAGTTTTACTATAGCCTTCTTTCTGATCTTCTAGTTCTTTTTTTAATAGCCTGTGAGTTTTTTTTAGCTTATAGCAAATAAACAATGCAGACAGCTGTTTTGTTGATTTTTTTTTCAAGCAGAGGCTGGACATTCCTCTGTGAAAATATCTTCTTCTGTATTTCTTAAATGATCTGGAGCCCAGTCAATTAAGCCTAGATTTCTTAATTGATCTGGAGCCAGAGTAGATGGCCTTGTTGATTCTAGATTTCCAACATACAAATTTTCTGTGAAGCAGAACTTAAGAGATATTTTCCTTATTTTGCATACAGATAGGATATATCATGTGAACTGAAGCAGCAAATAATGTGTCTAAGTCTCACGTAAATGAGATATATGGGAGCTATCCTTACTTCTGCATTCCACCATGTACTTTCCCTGAATGCCAAATTTATAAATCAGCATTAGTAAAATTACGTATAAATAACCTGGACATCAGTTCCCATCACCTAGCAAGCGTGCTACCCAAGGCAAAGGATTGAAGGAACTTTAGGATATCAATTTGGCTTATTTTCCATGCTCTGCTGGATGGCATGTAGTCATGAACATTAAAAAAAAAAAAAACCCACCTCACTTCTTTTCCAGTATTCAGCATTTTTTATATGTTACACATGGCAGCCTTTCTCAACCCACCTTCTCAAATGCATTGGATTAAATCCTGTTATTCATGATCAGCATGAGTTGACTTTATTGTTATGGGATTCCTTCTACTTCCAAATGTTTGTGAAGTTCTTAAGGAAATGTGCTGGGATGGAACGTAGAGCCTAGAGCAGACAGAGGGATTTCCTGGAATTCAGAACTGCTTTGACCTTTGAATCCCTATTTCTTATTGCTAGCATCGATCTGCTTATGATGCCCTTCCCAGCTCAACGATCGTTTCCATGGCTTGCTGTGCTACAGGAAGCACTAGAGGGTACGATGAACTAGTGCCACATCAGGTGTGTTTTTAAACGGGGTGCTCCTTGTACATTTGGGATGATCACACAGTGTTGATGCAGGTTCCAATAATATCCTGTTTATATTATTGTAGTGTGATATGCGTAGAGTTACTTTTAACATTTCTCAAGTTTTAATATAGCAGCTAGGGATAATTATTTTGTTTGGTCTTGCTCACTCAGGTTGTTTCACCAGTCCTACAAGCTTCACTCATGACCTATTTACAGACAAGTCAGAATGCTGGTCCTGTACCTAAGTTATAAGTACATGAAAAATAAAACTATTAATATAAGATTGCTATTACTGGTGTTTATCAGAACTCAAAACATCTTAGCCACAAATACTTGAAAGAGTGTTTATAGAAGAGAATATTTGTAGCTCAGGGTTGGTGCTCTCTGAGCTTGGTTGTTTCTTACAGACATTTTATTACCAAACTAGGTAACATTATCAAACATCATCATCAAATGTTATACATAAGATGGGAATAGCAATACATAGCAATAGCATATAAACCCACAGCCACACACTGCCAGGAATTATCCAGAACCAAAGACAAGTTACAGAAGGATGAAAGAAACAATGTAATCTACAAAATAAACTGTAACAATTGCAACCGACAAACATCATGTCAATTAAAAACCTGGTTCCATGAACACCGACTGGCAGTCAAACGCCACAATCTCTATCTACCAAACAACACCAGTTTGATTGGGCAACGCTAAAATCATCGGCCACGCTACCACCCACCACGCTTGTGAGTTCATCAAAGCCTGGCACCCCATAAGCAATTCCATCAACAGACACATCGGCCTACAACCAGTCTATGAACCCCTCAGAATCCGGATCAACTGCACAGCCAGCCAGAGACAGCACCAACCCTCAACCGACCCATTCAAGCCCTCCTCCTCCTCCCATCAGCTGTTCACCTCTCATTGACCCTGATCTGATCCCTATTGTAAGACCCATCACAAGCCTCTCACTGATGACTCATATTTGACTTATTACAAGACCCCCACTTGACACAGCCACACATGAAGCCCTTATAAACAGAACACTGACACTGACATTCCCTAAACTCAGCTGAAGATGTTACCTAGTCTAGTAAACAAAATGTTCAGAAATGAACCCACAAGCTTGGAGAATGAAACTTCACCCTTATTTGATAATATTACCTGGTTTGGTAAAAGCGATGGCACTTAGATTTATATACCGCTTCACAGCCCTCTCTAAGCCAGTGGTTCTCAACCTTTTTAATGCCGCGACCCCCCAATCGGTCGTAAGTCGAGGACTACTCAACCGGTCGTAAGTCAAGGACTACTCAACTGGTGCAGCACCGTTTGCAGAATGGGACTTTTGGCGGGCTCAGCAGGGCAGAGACAGCCTGGACAATTCCTATTGGCTTTTGAAAGCCAATAGAATTTGACTCTATTCAAGAGAGTCTATTCTATTGGCTTTCAAAAGCCAATAGAATAAAAGGGAGTAGCACAGCTAAGGAAAAGGGGGGAAAATGGCGGACTGCGTTGTTTGGCGACCCCCGTGAAGTGGTCGTTCGACCCCAAATGGGGTCCCGACCCACAGGTTGAGAACCATTGCTCTAAGCAGTTTATAGAGTCAGCACATTGCCCCCAAACAATCTGGCTCCTCATTTTACCAACCTCGGAAGAATGGAAGGCTGAGTCAGCCTTGAGCCAGTGAAGATCAAACCCCTGGCAGTCAGCAGAATTAGCCTGTAGTACTGCATTCTAACCACTGTGCTACCACAGCTCTAATGAAACATCTCCAAGAAAAGCTCTAAGCTCAGAGCACCAAGGATTCCACAGAGTGTTTATTCTTTTTTTAAAGCAAAATTTTATTAAGTTAAAAAATTTGTACTACTACTTTATTAAGTAGTATTAGGAAAAATAGGAACAGTACAGGTATGGTAAGGGGAGGGGGAGGGGGAAAAGGGAAGGGGAAGGGGAAGGGAATAAAGGATTTAGGGCAGCAGTTCTCAACCTATGGGTCGCGACCCCATTTGGGGTCGATCGACCATTTTTCGGGGGTCGCCAAAGAAGGCGATCCGCCATTTTGCCCCCTCAGGGGGCGGGGCCACGCATGCGTGCCGCGCATGCGTGCTGCGCATGGGGGCGCGCCACACATGCGCGCCACACGGGTGGCGCCGCGCATGCGCGCCACGCGTGGGCCCCCCATGCGCGCGGCGCCACGCATGCACAGGACGTTTGTGTGACGGGGTCGCCGTCACACAAACGTTGAGAACCACTGATTTAGGGTAAAATAAGGATAGGTGCAATCACATATTTCAACAAACAAGCTACCGTCTGGATCATAATAATGAGTAAATATATTCAACCATTTTTACCGTAAGCTTAGACTATAACATATTAAAAACAATTAGTAAACAAATACGTTGATCTATTAAGTAAACACTACTAATAAAATCTCAAAAAATCCTAACAATCAAGAGTAACAAATGAAAATCAGTAAATCATGAAAAATAATCATATCATCAACATGTTAGTTAGAACTCGGTTAAAAATCAGTCATCTGTTCTAAAATATTGAATCCTTCAAGTTCTAATGTGTCTCTAACCATTGATAAAAAATTTCCCAAGTTAAAATAAATTGAATCATCTTTTTCTTTCATCTCTAATGTTGGTCTATCCATTTCTGCACACTCTAAAATTTTAGTAATTATAATCTGGTCAGATGGTAAATTCTCATTTTTCCAAAATTGGGCAAATACTACCCTTGCAGCTGTTAAAACATGCAATATCAAATAGTCATTCTCTTTACCATAATTAGGTCTTAATACTCCTAACAAAAACAATTCCGGTTTAAATTCTATCTGTAGTTTCATCATCTTCTCCAACCATCTATGGATCTTAGACCAATATTTCTTAGCGATAGGGCATATCCACCAGGCATGGTAATAAATGCCTGGCTGTTGTTTACATTTCCAGCCAATATCCGAAACATTTTTAAAAATTTTCACCAAGCAAAGTGGTATCATATGCCATTTATAAAACATCTTATATAAGTTTTCTTTATATGCTACCCCTTTTGTAAGCTTAATATTTTTATCCCAAAGTTTTTGCTAGTCTTCCAAATCTATAGAATGTCCAAAGTTCTTTGCCCATACTAGCATTGTGTCTTTCACTTGTTCTTCTTCCATCTTCCAGTTTAAAAGAAATTTATAGCGTTTTCTAATCAAATTCTCATCTGTTTTTAACAAAATTTTATCTAATGGGGTCTGTTCTTTGTAAAAACCTGTTGATTTTATATCTTTTTCGTATTTTGTTTGAATTTGCAAATAGGACCACCATGTCAAGTCAATACCTTGTAGTTGTAAAGTTTGCCTGTCCTTAAGTTTTCCCTCTTCGTCCAAAATGTCTTTATAACCAACCAATTTGTCATAATTAATCAGATTTGGATAAGCAAATGCTTCCATTGTTGAAAGCCACTCAGGGATTTTCATATATATTTTATGTTTAATTTTCTCCCATTCTGAAAGTAGTACGTTTCTTATCGCATGATTTTGAAAGTACATATGTGCTTTAGATTTCTCATACCATATAAAAGCATGCCAACCTAACTGAAGGTTGTGTCCCTCTAAATAAAGCAATCTTTTATTTCTCAATACAATCCATTCTTTAAGCCAAATCAAAATAGCCGCTTGATAGTAAAGTCTCCAATCTGGAAGTCCAACGCCCCCTCTATCCTTAGATTCTGGTAACAATTTACATTTGATTCTCGCTTTCTTTTTTTGCCATGTAAATCTTAAAATCATTGCATTTAAATCATCAAAAAAATTCTTAGTAAGTTTAATAGGCACTGTTTGAAATAGGAAAATTAGCTTTGGTAAAATGTTCGTCTTAACCATCGCTATTCTTCCTAGAAGTGATAGTTGAAGATTTTTCCATCTTTCCAAGTCTATTTTTATTTGTTTCATTAATCTCTCATAGTTATTTTCTTTTAGTGTAGTATATTTTGCAGTTAAATAAATACCCCAATATTTGACTTTTTTAACTATTTGAAGGTGTGTCATTTTAGCGAGTTGAATTTTCTGTTTGTCTGTTAGATTTTTTCTTATTACTTTAGTCTTTTCCCTATTTATTTTCAGGCCAGCCACTTCTCCAAATTTCTCAATTTTCTGCAAGAGTTTATCAGCTGTTTGCAATGGCTCCTCTAGAATGAAGACCAAGTCATCCGCAAAAGCCTGTAGTTTATATTTCTGGTCTTTAATCTCCAGACCTTTAATTTCTGTATCTTGTCTGATATTTCTTGCCAGAACCTCTAATGTAAGAATGAACAACAGAGGAGACAGCGGGCATCCCTGTCTAGTGCCTTTTTTAATCTCAAATCCATCTGTATAATCTCCATTTAAAAGTATTCTTGCTGTTTGTTTCTTATAAATTGCTTGAATTGCTTTGTTAAAATTTTCACCAAAGTCCATTTCTTGAAGTTGTTGAAACATAAATTGCCAATTTAAGTTATCAAAGGCTTTTTGTGCATCAAGGAATATAAGTGCCATCTGGTTCCCTGGATGGATTTCATAGTATTCCAAAACGTTTAAAATAATCCTCAAGTTCTTTATCTGTCTTTTTGGTAGGAAACCATTTTGGTCTGGGTGTATAAATTCATTCAAAAAGTTTTTCATTCTTTCTGCCATTATTGCAGCAAAGATTTTATAATCCACATTTAATAGCGATATTGGTCTGTAATTTTTAATTAGTGTATGATCAGTATCTTCTTTAGGTATCAAAGTAATATTAGCTTCAGTCCATGAATCTGGAATTTTTATCTGTGTAAAAACTTCAAAGTTGGAGTTATAATATCTTGTAACGCTACATAGAATTCAGCAGGAAGTGTTTATTCTGATGTGCCAGCACTTCATAATTTGATCAATCTAAAGTCATGGGCAGATGGGCATTCTTCAGAGTGAAATAATTAGCATTCAAGCTGTTAATGTCAAGCAAAAGCAATTTTTATTGAACCGGGTGCTTAGAGACATTTTTCACATATGTTAAAGCTCCTGACTTTTAACTGAACTTTTTTTAAAAAAATTGTAATTGTCTTTTAAATTATAAGAAGCTATGTAGAAAAGTTTTAAATGTTGAAACATGTACAATGTGGTCTGAAGAAGTTTGAGCAAAGAAAAGATGATGAATTACTTTTTTTCCATTTATTGCCAGATATCCGTGGTCTCTGAAGAAAGATTTTATGCAAAGTGGAATCCAGCAGCAATACAGTTAAAACCTGGTGAAGTTAATTTCAAGACTGGAATTATAGCAGGAAGGCTAGCTATCAACAGATTACACCAAGAACTGGGAGCTAAAGGATTTAATCAGGCAAGAACTGGGTCAGCTTGTGTTATGGTTAGGAGAAATGGGAGACTGGAAACATTTGAGCCGGGCACCATGGCTTAATGCCTTCATGTAGCAGACTAAATGATAAAATAATTGTCAGCTTAATGAGGTGGACAGACTGATCTTAAGAATATACCGTAGTTAATTATCAGCAACAAAATAATTTAAATCCACAATTACTTCTCTATGAGCACTGGCTTATTACAATCATGGCTGGAAACCAAAATCCTGATTTATTTGATGTTTTGCTTTGCCAATTTTTGTCCAGCTACGAGCAAAGAAAATCAAGAAATATGGTAGATTGTTAATATTGAATGAATTATGATTATTTTATTTATCTGAAAGCTTGTAACTGGCTTTTCCATGACTAGGAACAAGTTATATGAAAGAGAATTCTTATGATCTTGTTTAAAGGAATGAGATTCTAAATGTTCATTGAAAGCCAAAATCCAAAATGATGTTACTGATCAACTAATTGTATGATTATTTCTTCTGATTGTGTATCTCACTAGCTTTCTCTCTTTCACATGAAAATCATGAATGTCCTCTTGTTCGTAGATTCTGAAATTTGTGACAACTGCCTTAAGATGCCCCAAATGAGAATTGCAACATGAGTAGTATTAATTTAAAATATACTCATTGTCTTATTTATTTTTTTCAAAATACATTTTTAGGTATTTGTAGACCAAGTTGATGAAGATATTGTGGCTGTGACCAGACATTGCCCTAATACACATCAGTCTGTTGTGGCTGTTTCTCGAACAGCTTTCAGAAACCCCAAGACTTCCGTCTATAGTCAAGAAGTTCCTCAAATGTGTATTCCAGGTAACCTTATCAATCCCAAGCAGCTATTTCTATCTCTTTTCTGTCCTTCCAGCAGAACTGTCAGGCAGTATTAATGGTTGGCCATATTACGTGGTATGATCCTTCTTCCTAGAGTTCTTGGAATAAATGAGCCATCTCTCAGGAACATGTGGACAGACACACATGTTACTTTACTACAGACCTAGGACCAGAACTGGGATCAAAATTTCCATTGCTAAGCAAGGCAGTTGTTGAGTGAATCATACTCAGTTTTACCTTTTTGGCCATGCCTGTTAAGCAAATCACACAGTTGTTAATTGAATCGTGCAATTGTAAAGCGGATCTGGCTTTCCCTGTTGGATTTTGCTTGTCAGAAGCTGGCTGGTAAGATGGCAGTCACATGATCCCGGGATGACATATAAATACATGTCAGTTGCCAAACGCCTGAATTTTGATCACTTGACTATGGGGATGCTGCAACAATTGTAATCACAAGGACTGATTGTAACTCACTTTTTCAGTTTTTAGTTCCATCGTAGCTTTGAACAGAAGCTAAACAAATGATTATAAGTCGAGGACTATCTGTATTCAGTAGAGATATTTTAGTACATTGAGGCAACTTACTGAAATATAATATCTTGGACCCTTGGACTTCTCATCAATCATCCATATTTGGATGAACATCCTTTGGAGAAATATTTTAGTATCTAAATTTTAAAATTTTAACAGTACAGTATTAAGCAAGTGTAGATACGCCAAAATAGTTACATTGTCCATCACGTGACTGGTTGCATCATGTAATCAGATGATATAGAAGTAATGTAAACCCCCTGTATATGGCAGCATGACATAATGTAATATATGAACATGGCAGATGTGAACTGGCAGATGTGATCTCAGAACCATTGAACAATATTTTTCAAAGATCCTGGAGAAACTACCAGAGGACTGGAAAAGAGCTGATGTAGTTCCTATCTTCAAAAAAGGAAAAAAAAAATAGACCCAGGAAATTACAGACCTATTAGCCTGACCTCGATACCTGGGAAGATTCTGGAAAAGATAAACAACAAATCAGCGAACACCTAGAGGCAAACAAAGTTTGTTAAAAGCTAACATGGGTTTGTCAAAAACAGATCATGCCAGACAAATCTTATTGCATTCTTTGACCAAGTGACAAAATTAGTGGATCAGAGGAATGCTGTGGATATAATTTACTTGGACTTCAGTAAGGCATTTGATAAAATAGATCACAACCTACTACTTGATAAGATAGAAAAATGTGGGGTAGACAGAATCACCACCAGATGGATCCGTAGCTGGCTGACCGGCCATACTCAGCGTGTGGTCCTCAATGGAACCGTATCTACATGGAGGAAAGTGTGTAGTGGGGTACCCCAGGGCTCTGTTCTGGGCCCAGTGCTCTTCAACATCTTCATCAATGATTTGGACAAGGGGATAGATGGGGAAATCATCAAATTTGCAGACGACACCAAGCTGGCAGGAATAGCCAACACTCCAGAAGACAGGCTTAGGATACAGGAGGATCTGGACAGACTTGAACACTGAGTGCTATCTAACAAAATGAAATTTAGTGGTGAAAAAAGTAAGGTTCTACATTTAGGCAAGAAAAACCAAATGCACAGGTATAGTATAGGAGGTACCTTGCTCAATAGTAGTAACTGTGAGAGGGACTTTGGAGTCCTAGTGGACAATCACTTATATATGAGCCAGCAGTGTGCTGCAGCTGTCAAAAGGCCAACACAGTGCTGGGCTGCATTAACAGAGGGATAGAATCAAGATCACATGAAGTATTAATACCACTTTACAATGCCTTGGTAAGGCCACACTTGGAATACTGCATCCAGTTTTGGTCACCACGATGTAAAAAAGATGTTGAGACTCTAGAAAGAGTACAGAGAAGAGCAACAAAGATGATTAGGGGATGGAGGCTAAAGCATATAAGGAAAGGCTGCTGGAATTGGTTATGTCTAGTTTAATGAAGAGAAGGACGAGGGGGGACATGATAGCAGTATTCCAATATCTCAAAGAAGAGATATCTGCCACAAAGAAGAGGGAGTCAAGCTATTTTCCAAAGCGCCTGAAGGCAGGACAAGAAGCAACGGATGGAAACTAATCAAGGAGAGAAGCAACCTAGAACTAAGAAACTTCCTGATAGTTAGAACAATTAACCAGTGGAACAACCTGCCTCCAGAAGCGGTGAATGCTCCAACACTGGAAGTTTTTAAGAAGAGACTGGACAGCCATTTGTCTGAAATGATATAGGGTTTCCTACCTGAGCAAGGGGTTGGACTATATCACCTCCAAGGTCCCTTCCAACTTTTTATTATTATTATTATTATTATTATTATTATTATTATTATTATTATTATTATTATGGATCATCACAGAGTCAGCCAGATGTTCAGACTGGATTTGGCATTTTGTCTACCTATCGAGTCCTTACCAAGGACCTGGGATAGGCAGATGTGGATGTTTGATGGTATTACAGATATCGTCGCAAGATGGAAGCAGTTCCTAGTAAGGCCGCCTTTTGCAATTGACTAATAGCGAATTTGTCAATGCCAATGGTGTTCAAGTAGTGTACCAGTTGTTTTGGGATTGCACCTAAGGCGCCTATTACTATTGGTACTACCCTTGCTTGCTTTTGCCACAGTCTTTCTATTTCTATTTGTAGGTTTTTGTATTTTGTTATCTTCTCCAGTTCTTTCTCATCTATTCTGCCGTCTCCAGGCACTGCCACATCCACTATCCAGACTTTTTTGTCTTTCTTATCGACAATTGTTAAGTCCGGGGTGTTATGTTGCAGGTGCTTGTCTATTTGAATTCTGAAGTCCCAGCAGTTTAATTTTATCATTTTCTATGACTTTTTCTATTTTATGATCCCACCAGTTTTTGCTTACAGGCAAATGATATTTCTTGCAGATCTTCCAGTACACTATTGTTGCTACTTTGTCATGCCGCTGCTTGTAGTCAGTCTGGGCGATCTTCTTTCAGCAGCTTACCAAGTGGTCCACTGTTTCTTCAGCTTCTTTTCATAGGCGGCACTTACTGTCTGTTGCTGTCTTCTCAATTTTGACTTTATATGCATTTGTCCTTAAGGTTTGGTCTTGTGCAGTCAGAATTAGTCCCTCAGTCTCTTTCTTCAATTTTCCTGCTCTTAGCCATTGCCAGGTCTTTTTATTATCTGCTTTCCCAGCTATTTTTTTAATGTACTGGCCATGTAGTGCTTTGTCTTCCCATGCCTCTATTCTGTTCTTCATTTGGTCTTTCTTGTAGGCCAGTTTTGTCTCTGCTGTAGTCAGTAAGCCTTCCTGATATACTAATTTCAGTGCATCTTCATCACTGTCCTTCAGATATTCTTCCAAAGCCATTTTTTCTTCTTCAACCATCTGATGTACTTGCAGCATTCCACGTCCACCTATTTGCCTTGGTAGATAAAGTCTGTCAATGTCACTGCGTGGATGAAGGGCATGATTCATTGTCATTATTTTTCTGGTCTTCCTATCCATTGCTTTTAGTTCTGCTTGAGTCCAGTCCACTATTCCAGCTGTGTATCTAATGACTGGAATTGCCCAGGTGTTGATTGCCTTTATCGTATTTCCTCCATTGAGTTTGGACTTTAAGATCTTCTTCACTCTCTTGATGTATTCATCTCTAATCTTTTTCTTGACTTCAGTGTGCTTGATGTCGTCAGCTTGAAGGATACCCAAGTATTTGTAGTAATCTTCCTCGTCCAGACTCTTAATGTTATTTTCGTGGGGCATCTTGATTCCTTCAGTTTTCACTATTTTTCCTTGTTTGATAGTAAGTGTGGCACACTTGTCCAAGCCAAACTCCATTGCAATATCTTGGCTATATATACAGACTATTATTATTATTATTATCGATCATCGCACAGTCAGCCAGATGTTCAGACTGGATTTGGCATTTTGTCTACCTATCTAGTCCTTACCCAGGACCTGGGATAGGCAGATGTGGATGTTTGATGGTATTACAGATATCGTCGCAGGATTATTATTATTATTATTATTATTATTATTATTATTATTATTATTATTATTATTACTACTACTACTACTACTACTATCTCTGAGAGTTTAAGGGAAGGTGGACCTTTTGGATAGCTTAAAATAAAATAATTTCTTATTTATACTCTATGTTAATGATTTTAATTACTTCTGCTGCTTGTTAATATTTTGGACTGCAGAGTTGAATGTAGAATGAATGTAAAGGAGGATAAAACAGTAAAAAGTGAGATTAGAAAAATAGATGTTTTACACTTAAATACAAATGTATACCAAATAACCATGCAATAGGATTTGTATGACCTTCAATCCTTACTTCTGTTCTTGACTTGGAGTTCAGTAATAACCACATCTCTCACATCCTGGATACAGTCTACGATTACTCTTCATTGGTACTAAGTAACTTCTTAAAACTGAAATCAGACAATTTTGCATTGTGGCTAATAAATAATAAAGAACTCATGTATTGTATGGCTGGCTATTACTCAATGTCCTTTACTAATTGTAATTATGACATTTTTACCCACTGTGGCATAAGAATTACTTTTTTCTTACTGTTTCTACAGGCAAAATTGAAGAAGTAGTTCTTGAAGCTAGGACTGTTGAGAGAAATGCAGATCCTTATAAAAAGGATGATCATACAATCAATGGGTTGCCTGACTATACAGTTGAGCTCAGAGAACACATACAGGTTAGTTCATGTTGTAAATCAAATTAAAATACCACAGAGCCCTCTCTCTCTCTCTCTCTCTCTCCCTCCCTCCCTCCCTCCCTCCCTCTCTCTCTCTCTCTCTCTCCCCCCTCCCTCCCTGCAATTTTAACAGTTACCTGCATTCAACTGTTTTTCTTCTCTTGTTAGCTCACGGAAAGTAAAATAATAAAGCAAGCTTCAGTTGCCACAAAAGGTCCTAATGAATTTGTTCAGGAAATAGAATTTGAAAAGCTTACACCAGGGAGCGTGATCATATTTAGGTAAATAGCAGTTATTTCTACCCATTTTACAAAATATTTGATGGATTTTATGGAGATTATTGGAATGGAAGACTAACATCTCTTGTTTGGTGCTAATATTGTAGAGTTAGCCTTGATCCGAAGGCACAAGATGCTGTAGGAGTACTTCGTAATCATCTAATCCAGTTCAGTCCTCACTTTAAATCTGGAAGTCTGCCTGATGATGGTTCAGAAGCTATACTGAAAACCCCTTTTTCAATGTAAGCTTGTGTCTATGTTGAAACTTAACAAAAAGTTACGAAAATGTCTTCCTTGCTTGCTCTGTATTCAAAACAGTCATGAGGAATTAGTAAGACAATAGTATGTTTGGCAATAAATATGTTACTTTTGGCCATTAATACTTTAGACCAGGCATGTCAAAAACGCGGCCCATGGGCCTCATCTGGCCCACGGGCTGCATCTGGCCCACATAGGCCACACCCACCTCAGCCCCGCAAGAGCAAAACAAATCTCGATACATCATAATACAGCCCGTGATGCGATCGGGTTTGACACCCCTGCTTTAGACCTTAGAGAAAGAGGTAATGATTACTAAGACATTCTGTGCACACTTTCTTGAAAGGAAGTCTCATTCAGATGATTCAGACTTTGGCATTAGTGTGCTTAGCAATGACCTCTTGCCAATCTTGTTCAAGAGTGTTCAAAGACTGTTATTGTCAAAGAATGTTATTGTCTCTAAGACTGAACTACATATTATGGTGAATGTGTCATGTTGTGCGTAAGAAATGTGGGTATTTTCATTAAATGTCACTGGTAGGATGTATTCATCCAATGCACGATCACAGCAGGGAGGGAGTGGAAATTTAATCTTCCCTTCCCCCCACTGCAGTCCTTGGGAAATCCACCCATCCAAATTCAGTCCCAGAGGAAAGCTGCTTTTTGCACTTTCTTCCTGAGCAAATAACAGATTATATTTTTGGAGCCGTAGTGCAAGAGGCAATATTTTTAGTATAATCATATGCTTGCCACGTTATTTTGTCCTTTGTCGATTGATTGAATTCTAATACGTATCCGTGGATTTAGCTGGATAAAGAGATCAAAATGTTCACTTTGGAATGACAAAATAAGATTTCACTTTCATGCCTCTGATATGGACAATCTGTAATCAGCTCTTGATAAGAGTTGAATAAAACCTAGCAAGAGAATTCTTGGAGAACTTAGCAGTGTGCCTATGTCTTGAATGCATCCTTTTACCACATCTTAGGAATAATAATAATAATAATAATAATAATGAAGTTGGAAGGAACCTTGGAGGTCATCTAGTCCAACCCTCTGCTCAGGCAGGAAACTCTATACCATTTCATCCATTTTATTGTGAACTATGGCTTAGATGTTATGTAGCAACAAATATGTAGTCCTTGACTTAAGACCAGTTGCTTGACAACCCTTTGAAGTTATGACAGACCCTCCAAAAGCTACTAATCATCCATTTTTAAAGTTAGGATAGACGCACAGATACAAACACAGAGTCACACAATTGTATTTTGGGTGCTTGGCATCCAGCTCATTTTTACAGCTGTTTGTAATGTCCACAGTCACATGACCTCAATTTGCAACAGTTTTTACCAGTTTTGGAGCTTACTTCCGGTTTCTGGTAAACACTGCCCATTGAGGAAAATTGATTTGCTTAACAACCATGGTGTTCATTTAATGACACTGCAAAAAAGGTTGAAAATTCAGGTCCAGTGATATGCCTTGATTTATGACGACAACAACTTATGACTGAGCTCAATTATGGTCATAATTTGAGAACTACCTGTAGGTTGTACATTATACTCCCCACCTAGTAACAGCTAATTTATGGCTTTTTCTCAGTATTGCATCAAAATTAAAATTAGCAGACCTAAATCAGATACTGTATCGTTGTGATGCAGAAGAACAAGAAGATGGTGGAGGATGTTATGACATACCAAACTGGACACCTCTTAAATATGCAGGCCTTCAAGGTAAGAAATCTACATGTTTTTGTCTCAAACTAATTGATAATTAATATATTTTTATTTCATTTCAAACTTTAACTTTCTGTATGCTTTTATTCTTAGCCAAGGTTCACATTTTTTTGGATGAGCAGGGCCAGGGACTTCTCGTTTCCCCCCCCCCCCTTTTGTATGTGAGAAAGTGAATTTGGGATTTTGTTTTTAAAACTGTATTAAGCCCACACATTTAAAAAGCCTATTTTAAAATCAGTGTTATAGTTCTTGAATGTTTCCATCTCAAAATAGCAGAAATCGTCAAAAATCAGGGGCCAAAAATGGTATTTTGGGGGACCTCATGTGACATATTGTGCTATAATTAAAATAGATCCAATAAAATCCATGCAATCTTTTTTGGTCAATATTTGATATTTCCATCCTGTTTTAGTTCACAGTTTCTAGGATCTCTAGAAGTTAGTAAAACAGAAGAATACTGGAACATTAATCAAAGCTACTGGGCTAACACATAGTAAACCCTAGTTGTTCTTTTGAGAATGATATATTATTGATTACTTAAACTTTTCAAACTAACCATAAATTTTTGTAAGTTTAAATTGTGAGTTTTCAAAATAACTTCAAACTGTGATTTAATATCCCTGTTTGATAAATTCTCATAAATCACAGTATAAAGTGGTGAAATTTAGACATAAGTCTAAGAACCATGACCTTTTTTGTTGTCACGTCTGAATATAGGATAATTTTGCAGAATATTTTTAATCCTACACCTTTGAAATTGAGATTTTTATAAGTTTGTAGGCTAGCTGAAGGCAGCATAATACACTGTTAAAAGAGGGGTGTTTTTTAAGTCTATATAAACATCCTAATTTATTTTTCTTTGAATTAAATTTAGATCTTTACTGTTTTCAGAAATATATAAATTTCAAAGCTGTTTGTTTTTGAAATCTCAGTATGAGAGTATGAATTAAGACAGGGGTGTCCAGTCTTGGCAGCTTTATAACTTGCGGACTTCAACCCCCAGAATTGGCTGGCTGGAGAATTCTGGGAGTTGAAATCCGCAAGTCATAAAGTTGCGAAAGTTGGACACCCCTAATTGAAGGTATATAAATAAATAACATGATGATGCATGTCATGACCTGTATTACAAAACCATATTTCTGTGGATCCTCAGGAATAATGTCAGTGATGGCAGAAATACGACCAAATAATGACTTGGGCCATCCTTTCTGTGGTAATTTGAGAGCTGGAGATTGGATGATTGATTATGTGAGCAATCGCTTAATTTCCCGTGCTGGAGCTTGCTCTGATGTAAGTTAAACTTCACAAAACTAATTCTCTTTGTAAATAGATACATTCATTTGTTATATATTAACTTATCTGATGAACTCTTCTTGTAAGCTTGAAAGCTTACAGATTATTTGGGAAACTTTGCACAATTACCTAACAGGAATTAATGTAACTTTCAGCATTTGTTATTAATTACAGTTTTAAGTTTAGTACTACAGTTTGTTTCCCTCAACTATTAGGTTGGGAAGTGGCTGAAAGCAATGTTTATCTACTTGAAGCGGGTCCCTCGTTATCTCATTCCATGTTATTTTGATGCCATATTAGTGGGTGCATATACTACACTTCTTGACTTGGTGTGGAAACAGATGTCCAGGTATGTTTTTATTAGTGTAGCTATAGAAAGCTAGAACATGATAATGCTGGATTGTGTCAAGCACAAAGAGTGGCATATACTTCTGAATGTTTCATCTGTTTGTCTTTAAAAGTACAAGGTTACTCATTATGGCCACTGGGATAATCTGTGTTCAAAAATTATTTCCTTTATTTTCTATATTAATTAAAGTAAAATAGAACAAATTTACATACATCTCCTGTAAGTTATCTCTTAATTTCTGCCTGGTAACACTTAGTCAAATGTAAATGCAAGTATCCTCAGTGAAAAACAATGTGTTTCACTTGGTACAGAATGTCAGTTTAATGTAAGGTGACTAATAAGTGATAACTCATTTGCACATCTTTTATTTGATGTGATCAGTGAACTGTCAGTATACTGTTCAAACTAATGAGTTTTTTTAAGTTCATATAATGTGCAGGATACCAGTGTATGTGTTATCATGGAAGGATTGGATATGTAGGATACACTATTTGTGGTGGTTCCTGTCCTTCTGTTGGAACATCTGATGAAGGTGCTTCTTGGGGACTATGGTTTTTCACCTGTGGTTCCCCTTAAGATTTATCTTGTCTTTGATACTGTTTAACCACTAGATGAAAACAATCAGAACCCTTAAATGTTATCTTAATCTTGATAATTGGAACAAACCAAAATTAAATCTAGACAATCCTAGATTAGTGTTGGATTTAGTAACTATTTTTGATAATGAAATTGCATTCTAGATTCATAATTTGGGATTGTTTCTTGATTCCTAACTGTCAGGCCTCAGTTGCAGCAGTTAATTAGGTATTCATACACCTAAATCTACTCTTAGCTGGACTTGGCAGAAGATACACCTAAATCTACTCTTAGCTGGACTTGGATAAATTAAAGACTATATTGCAGATAATAATTAAGCCAAAACCTAAATTATGATTGTAGTTTCTTAGAGTTTAAATTTTGCTCTTTCAAATTAATGATTGTAGTTTCTTAGAGTTCAAATTAAATTTTGCTCTTTCAAATTAATGGATACGTGATAAATCTGTTGATGGCCTTAGGATGCTATTTTTACATATTAGTCTTCTCAAGACTGGGAACTTCTGATTCAGGTCTCCCCGTCTCCAACTGTCTGTGGCTGTAGGAAGAGCATGTCTGCAGAGCTATAGTTAGTGTATCAGTTCTGATCAGTTCTTGACAGCTTTCCATACTTTGTTTACAATAGCAATAGCATTTAGACTTATATACCGCTTCACAGTGCTTTACAGCCCTCTCTAAGCAGTTTACAGAGTCAGCACATTGCCCCCAACAATCTAAGTCGTCCTTTTACCAACCTCGAAATGATGAAAGACTGAGTCAACCTGTCAGTCGGCAGAATTAGCCTGCAATACTGCATTCTAACCACTGTGCCACCCACAGCTCTTCATTGCACAATACTCAATGTGGGGATGCCCTTAAGAAGTGATTGGAAATTGCTGTCTATGGAAAATGCAGTGACTAAACTATTAATCAGTGGTACAAATATAACACACAGCTTGCACAGAAAGAATTTTACTGGTTATCAGGCACAATTTAAAAAGTTGATATTGGCTTTTAAAGGCCTGAATGGCTTCTGGCCTGATTAACTGGGGCACTGTCTCGCTTATTATGAATCTGCCCAGTTATTTAAAGGAGAGGATGTTTTGATTCCCTACATCAGGCATGTCAAACTACCGGCCCGTGGGCCAGATGCATCACGCTGAAACCGCGCCCACCCCATTTCCGGCAATGGGGAAAAAATCCCGATACATCGCGCAACGTCACGAGTTTGACGTGCCTACCCTACATATTGCCAGAGGTTTAACTATTTTGTACACAGGTGGTATGATTATGGAATGCTTTCTCCAAGGATGATATGTATTTGATACCCTCTCTTACAGCACTTAGGAAATTGGCAAAAGATATTGTTTTGCCAAGATTCTAATTAGAATACAAAAGTTTTATAATGGACAAATTGGAAATATCTTTATAAATTTATAAGAAATAAAGAGGTCATCACCTATATTTGTGACATTTTTGTGATAACATTATCATGCAGTCATGCATATTATTACAATATTATGGAAATGATATATATCAATGCAAATTTAATTTGACATGATTACAAAAGCAATGTCAGTCACAGCGGAAATAGGAACCATTGCATCAAGATCCAGAAAACTGAAGTTTCAGTGTAATTCTACTGTCATTTTTTTTAATTATACAGGTTTTTCTGTTATAGTTTATCTCTTGTACTTTTTTTATTGTTGTATCTTCAGTGCTTCTTTGCTAGCTTGACAATGTTTGGAAAATGTATGGACTTGAAATGGTGTTGCTTTAATTATAGCTTTGTCCAGAATGGTTCAACGTTTGTTAAACATCTTTCCTTGGGCTCAGTCCAGATGTGTGGAATAGGAAAATATCCATCTTTGCCACCTCTGTCTCCTGCCTTAAAGGATGTCCCTTATAGGCTGAATGAGATTATGGGAGAAAAAGAACAATGCTGTGTTTCTTTAGCAGCTGGTAAGCATAATCTCTAGTTCATGAAAGAGACTATTTTTAAAAATATTTTGCATGTTTTCAATCTTTGCTTAGCAGAGGTGAAGCAATTCAGGTTGTAAACAGACTCAAGAACCTTGTAGATCTGGAGTGGGGAAGGCAAGAAGGAGCAGTGTAGTATAAATCTAATTAAATCTGAGTGGATAGTAACAGTCAGTGCTTTTGGGGGGGGGGGAAAGGTGCCAGAACTCACACATGTCATACAACCCGCCTTGCCTACCCTACAAGGTTCCATCCAAAAAAGATGCCGGAACTCCGTTCTGGGTGTTCTATGAGAAAAAAAGCCCTGGTAACAGTTGTATCCTTTTAGTTAGTTCCTAAACTTATGTTAAGTATTTTTATCTCCTCCACTCAGAATTAAGAGATAACATTGGAGTGTAGGGGTAGGGCATTAGATCTCTAAAGAAATTGAAAAAATAGTTATTGTGATGTTTCCAGAACAGCATCATCATCAGTAATTTATAGTGGAACAGCTTCTATTAACAAAAATGGATTCTACAAACTCACTTAGTTGATTCAGAGTCTTCTTTCATTAACTGGTCTTCAGAACTCATGTTTTCTAGAATTCCATTATCCTAAAGTCTGATCTCTGGTTAGTCTGATCTAACGTTTTGTCCATTTGCATATCTTTCAGGACCACAAGTTTGAATAAATTAGTTTATGTAAATCAATTTCTTTATCTTTGTACTTGGTAATCAAATTTATATTGATGCTAAAATTCCATGAAGCTGAAACATGCCCCTACCAAAAATATAAATAATAAGAATTAGAGATAAGCTTTCTGGTAATCATTGCCTTGATTTCTTCAAGGCCTCTTGAAAATTGTTCTTCAATTTTTACAGAAGTTCAGACCTGCATATAACTTTCAATGCTTTACCATAAGCTCTATGTAATTCATTATTTATTTTTATTACTTTTAAGATAATAACAGAAAAAAACAGAAAAAGAACAAAACAAAAAGATAATTGTGTTAGAAATAAATACATTGTTAAAGAAAAGGGGGAAAAACATAGAAAGTCTTTTTTAAAAAAATCCATACAAAGTCTACGTTGGTTAGGCAACACTCAGGTAGCAAGTGCAATCAGGTCTTCATTGAATGAAAGATGCTATAAATTTATGTTTCCAATGCTGCAGTATCAGCCTTTTGTCCATAGTAAAAGTGTGGAGAATCCACTTATGTTGTCAAGTTGTCAAATTACATATACTAGGTATGTAATACTCAATGGTATTACATATACTAGGTATGTAATATTTAAAAGAATATTATCCTCTGAAGAATTTAGCTTTTGTTTTCACAAATATATTTAATTCACTAGTAAGTGTAGGACATTGTAAAAATATGTGTTTTAAAGAAGAATCGTCCTTATTATACAGTATCTCCAACAAACTGATATATAATATTAAAATTCCAATAATTGCTCTGCACACCAAGTGCATAGTTTACAAGTGGTCATTTGAAGTCAGGTGGTTATATATTGGTGGATTGTTATTAGTCACCTAGTAATTATATATTCTGTTTTCTTCATTGGGTTGGACTAGTCTACAAATACAGAGAGTTATAGTACATATGAGCTGTGCTAAAAGAAAATATAAGTAAATATGTAGGTATTGGAATCAACTTCATGTCAAATCTCATGTCAGATTTAGTGCTCTAGTGGCAAGCAAAAACAAAAAAAAATGTGATTTAAATAGAGCTTTGCAGAGCAGTGTGACAGAGCTGATTTTAATGTTACAGTCAGATACAAGTATAAAAAGTAAAAAATAGTATTTTCTTACAGTATTAAGAAAATAATGTGTTCATATATTGTGATATAAAAGCCTAATATTTTCTCTGTATATTTTAGGACCTTTCTCCCAACAGTTGGTATCTTTTTTGACCTCGTATTGGTTCCAAGCGACTGTTACCACACAGAGAAACAAAAGGTTCATCTATCTTATCCCATAGATAGGTTTTGCTAGCTAATGAGTGCAAGGAAGGTCCCAATCTTCATTTTGTTGATAAATTAGGATGACTTTGTGCAGATGGACGTCATCCAAATTGAGTTACTCAGAGAGAATAGAGCAGAGTGTGGCTCAGCCATAAATATAAAGTAAGCTGTTTTTGAAAGGTAGAGAGCTATTAAGTTCTAATGCTTTACATCTGCTTTGTCTCTCACTCTTCAGGTTTACCTCATTTTTCATCTGGCATTTTCCGTTGCTGGGGAAGAGATACCTTTATTGCACTGAGAGGGCTGATGTTAGTTACTGGACGCTACTTGGAAGCAAGGTAAAGCAGTTACAAATGTCAATAGTACCTGGTTTTCTCTCTCTCTCTCTCTCTCTCTCTCTCTCTCTCTCTCTCTCTCTCTCTCTCCCTCCCTCTCTCTCTCCCTCCCTCCCTCCCTCCCTCTCTCCTATCTACTTACCTATCTACCAAATCCACACACTAAAGTATATATTTATGCCAACAGAATAATGACAATAGAAATTTGCATTGGGGTAAATAAGGTTCTAGTCATTTAAAGCAATGCTTATATGCTTACATTTTTGTTAATGTTTTTCAAATAGAAAGGATAGAATTATTTGTTTGTGTAACCCACCCTAATTCTGGCCTGAGTGCCTTTCAGCCAATCCTCTGGAAAACTCTTATTAAACAGGATGATTTAATCTATGCAAGACTAAATACAGGTAGTCCTCTACTTTTGACTACAATTGGAATCAGAAACCTCTTTACTACGTGATGCAGTAGTTAAGTGAGCATCTCATGACCAGGCCCGATTTTACAACCATTTTTACTTCACATATTTTTAGTGAAATGTAATAGAGAACTTGAAAGCCTACCATTTTTATATTCACTCCCGTCTCCATCTCTCTGGTTTCAGGAACATAATATTAGCATTTGCTGGAACCTTAAGGCATGGTCTAATTCCTAATCTGCTTGGCCAAGGTACTCATGCCAGGTACAATTGTCGTGATGCTGTATGGTGGTGGCTTCAGTGTATACAAGATTATTGTAAAACCGTTCCAAATGGCATAGACATTCTCAACTGTCTGATATCTAGAATGTATCCTACTGATGATTCTCTACCTCAGCCAGCAGGCAAAATGGTAATTATAGCTTCTCTCTTTTAGCTCAGTTCAATTTCTTACATGTTTTATTGATGTGTTAATTTGGGAAAGGAATCTTCCAGGTTTGGGAGTTGACTTTAGCTCATGTCAGACAATTGCTGAAGTAGAATGATCCTCTGTGGTGTTGTGTGATGCCTATAACTAGCCTGATGCTATTGTGAGTACAAAAAACAGCTTGGATCATTATGCTTGGTGGCCTCTGATAAGGTAAAAAGGTTTTGTCCTTAGCAGTGGTTGGGAAGGAAATTCTCCAAGAGACTCTTGTTCTGCAGTTTAAATAAAATGTAAACACTTGCCCAAAGAACTTCAATATTATAGTATTACTTTCATTGACATAGTCTTATTGTTGTAATCGTACTCATTAAAGGACAAATGTTAAAAGAAAGTGTATTTTTTCTAAAGAAACCAGTTGTATATATTATTGCACTGTAGTGTTGAAGTATTTTTGACCTGCATTGGAAGGAGAAATGCTGACTAGATCTCTCTTCAGCACCTTAAATTTACACTTGATATCACATAGTACAGAGGACCACTCTGAAATTTGGAGAGACAGATTGGTGTAGTGGTTAAGGCATCGTGCTAGAAACCAGGAGACTTTGAGTTCTAGTCCTACTTTAGGGCAAAGCCAGCTGGGTGACCCTGAGCCAGTCACTTTCTCTCAGCCCTCGGAAGGAAGCAATGGCAAACCACTTCTGAAAAACCTTCTCAAGAAAATTACAAGAATCTGTTCAAGAGTCTCCAAGATTCAGACATGTTTGAATGGGGGAAAAAAAATAAAGTGCAGAGTTTAAAGTGTTGGAGTGAGTAAACTGAGAATGTTCAGTTTCAAATTTATTTTCAGGCAAATCCACTCACTAGGAGACTTTGGGCCCATCAGTCTTTATTAGCCCAACCTAACTCATATAATAGTTTTCCAGGGATAAAATGAGTTTTATGTAATCACTAGCTGTACCTGGCCACGCGTTGCTGTGGCTCAGTCTGGTTAAATGGAAAAGAAAGAAAAGAGAAAGCGCATGTTTGTAAGATGTTTAATTTCACAGTGCTTATTGGGTATACAATATTTTTTGTTGTTCCATTGTATGTGCAGATATAGAGATTGTCTGGTTGCTTTTACATCCAACAGATGGCGCTGTTTTTCAAAAAACCATCTTTTTACCTGTCACAGGTGTGACAGCTATATAATAGTAGGTATATAAAAACATGCGTGTATTTGAATGCAACGTTGTGTCAAAATTTCAAAGCAATCGGTGAAGAACTTTCGGAGATCTAAGATTTTGAACAAACGAACATTTACATTTTTATTTATATAGATTTTGACGTTCTGGAGGAAATGTGGGACATAAATCCAGTACACACCACTCTTGAGAGTGAGTCCATTGGACTTGCCTCTGAATAGGAGATTCCTTTACAAACGCTATGTACTTTGTTATGTGTGTTTTTAATTTAGGTGTTTTTTCCTTTCTCCCCCTATATTTAAACTACTGATACCCAGGATCAGCCATTATATGAAGTGATACAGGAAGCAATGCAAAAGCATGCCCAAGGCATAGATTTCCGAGAGAGGAATGCTGGCCCACAAATAGATCGAAACATGAGAGATGAAGGTATACATTTTGCAACTATTTTTTTTAAATGGATGTTCTTGTTTATTTCCTAGCTTCCTAAAATATCTTGAAATAAAGTGAGATTTTCTTTAAATCCCCTTAAAGATACTCTTCTCCATGACTTAAAATACAGCATTCATATGACTGTGTTGTCAGTCAATGTAATTTGGGCTGCCATAAAAGCCCTAATTTATTCTGAGTGGATGCGTAGGGGGGAAACATTTTCATGTGGCTTTTCTGGAAAACAAGCTAATATTTATACTTTGTAGGCTTTAACGTAACTGCAGGAGTGGACATGGATACGGGCTTCATCTTTGGAGGGAACCGTTTTAATTGTGGTACCTGGATGGATAAAATGGGAGAGAGCGATAGAGCTCGCAACAAAGGAATTCCAGCCACTCCAAGGTACTGCACAAATGCTTGTAGCGTTTATTAGCACATTAAAAGCCTGAATGTAATTGTTTGACTAATTAGAAATCAGTGTAAAGATATTGCTGTGAACTATGAATGAGTGAATGAATGTTTTTATTGCAGTCACCGATCAGAATTGCAAACAAAAATGGATTTAAAAAAAATAAAGCAAAAACAAAACCATATAAAATAATACAATTGGTGGTGGGTTTGTTAGTAGATAATAAAAGTCTGCCTAATTTTATAGGCAGTATTTGTTTGTTAAATTTATTTGCCACCCATCTCATCTGGACAGCTTGGAACGGTAAAAATGGGAAAAATGATAAAAAAAATGTAAACATAACAATGGTAAAGCAATCAAAAATAAAAACAATAAAAATAAACAATGGAAGTACAACAGTATGAATTAAAAGATGGGCAGGGGAGAGCAGGAAGCTCAATTTTATATTAGAAATATTACAAATTTTAGCCACCTTCAGGGAGATTGACTCTTGCCAATCTGATAACAATTGTACATTAAAAAAAAGTCAGAATTTACCAGGTAAGGAGTTATGTCCGGTCCTTGAATCCTTACAGAGCAGAGATCCCTAACCTTTTGGGCACCAGGGACCGGTTATGTGGAGAGAGGTTTTTCTGTGGACCGGAGAGGGCGTGGTTTTGTGTGCTGCCTGCATCCTGTGGGTGGGGCTTTCCTTGTTTGTGCAGACCGGTTGCTGGCATGCACGGACCGGGGATTGGGGACCCCTGTTATAGACAATACAAATAGCAAGACATGAGCTGCAGTTTCAACAGACCCATGTCCATGGTGGCAACTTCTCAGCTCATAAGGAACTCTTTTTGTATCATCCCTCAAAAATGTCTGTGTGGAGATCACTGAAGTGTGCTAAAGTTAATGCTCTTCGGAATTTGAAAACAGTTTTGTGGTGTAAGTATCTCACTGCTTTATATAAAGGGGATTGACTTCTGTGAAAAATACTCTTAAGTAGAGCAGACTGGCTCTGTTGGGCTTTCACATTTTGGATAATATTGTTTAAATATGCTGAGTGCATCCTCATAACCCATCATTAGGAAGGCCTCCCTGGAAAAGTTGAGAAGTTGAAATTTTTGTGAGATTGTCTTGAACCATATTGATTTGTAATTGTCCTCAATAAGAAAGGAACTCAAACATATAGGAAAGGACTTCAATCACCATGGAATCATACAGGTCCGTGCATCTATTTTGACTTTAAATAGCCCTGCTTCCTTCCTTAATATTACATTTGGAATGCAAGGAGCTACCTGGAATGTAGCCCTTAGGAATTTAGGTTGGATCTTTTCAAGAGGAGTAAAAAAAAATGTAAGGTCCTAACTGAACACCAAAACATAGTTGTGCACAGGTCTTAGTTGAATGTAGCTTCAGTGCTGCTGGGGGACACACTGTGCTTCTCTGGAAAAGTGAAAAGAATTGGCCAGTTTTTTGAGCATTTTGTATGACATAATTTTGGTGTGCGCTGTGTTTGATGGAGCTATGGAAAACCATAACCAAATATTCAAAAGATTGCACTTGTTCAACACTCTTGCTGTTTCTCCTTTAAGCATGCAGTTTAGGTCTCTGCCAAGATCAGGATCTCAATTTTACTACATTTGATATCAAACGCTTCCTTAGAGTAGTGTTTGGCCAGAGCATTCAGAGTTTGCTTAAGTCCAATTATTAAGTCCAATTGCTTTGAACTAGTTTCTTTTTGAATTAAAAAAAAATCTATTTTCAATGGAAAATGCTAGTTCAGTGGAAAAACAAACTGGCTAAATTAAATACATGAAAACCCTGTCCATTGCCAGTTTTCTCTCAAGCATATTCATATTCAGTTCAGGCAGATTTATATATAAAATATATGTAAAGACTTATAAACGTGCAGGCATTTCAAGGCAGGAGTTTTGCTTGAAATCCTCTGGATTAAAAAATATGAAAGTATTTTATGAAAAATGATTTTAAACCATGCTGTTTGCATTAAACATCTAGCAGCAGAAGGATCTTTAAATGTTACCTGTGTTTTGCTAAGCTAAATGGCAAGGTTGGGTTCATATAAAATGAGCATCAATGAAATTACCCATTTGGGGATTTTTGACATACAAACACTAGATTTATACGTGACTTAAATATGCAATCCAGATCTGATTGAAAGGAAGGATTACTAGGCTTGCTAAGGCCTAATTTCCACATGATCCAATGCTAAGCCATGGGTTAGGACAGGAGTGCAAATTCAGCTTTTGTACTAAATGGAAGCTAGTCAAGGATTGGGTGCAGCCTATTTTTTATTTCTTCAGTTCCTGCCTTTCTAACCCTGCTTTTAATATTTCTCTCTCTTTTTTTTTTCAATTTCTTCCCCATCTCTGCCTGATCCTTCCCATCTTGTCTGCATTCTCTATCTGTTCTCCTTAAGTCTTCCTGTATTGTCCGCATCTTCTCCATTCTGTTCTCCATTCCAAAGCAAGGGAGGGGGGAGCAGCTGTGGCATAGATAGCTCCTTCTGCTATCATGAAAATAGCTATATTGTTGTTTCCTCTTTTTTGGATCAGGAAGAAAGCATTCTTCTAGTTATTCAAAGAGAAAACCACAATGTCAGAGTGCAAGCTCGCTTCCTTTTCGTGCAATCAGAGACTAAAATAAGCCCCCCATTGCCCACCCAGTGACTGTAGCACCATTTACTTGCGAACAAATAGACAACAGCTAGTTCCCGTTGGTTTGATTTGCTATAGAGATAAAGGAGTTGAGAGAATGAGAGATGAGAGAAACGAACTATCCTATGGATATGCGAAAATAAAAATTAACAAAGGTTCATTTATTGTATATGTGTATGTAGATAGGTAAATAAATAAATCCTGCCAACTTTGAGTTCTGCCCCTGTCCAATTTTGAAGTGTAACTCTCAACACATTGTGCAACGGAAGCCCTTGGGATGGTAACAGAAGCAATGCTTGTGACTTTACATGTACATGAATCCATAACTGTTCTTTAAATTAGTCATGTATATCCAAAGGAGTTTATGAAAATCTTGAAATCCAAATTTAACTCTTGGCATCACTAGCCAATTACTGCCTGTTTTGATTGACATTACTTCTCTGGATTGTCTGGTATATTTCTCATCAATGTCAAAATAGTTTTTTAAAAAAAACAATTATCTTATACACTAATGTTGCCCTCTTCCAAAATATATAAGGGAGTTACTGATATAATCAGAGTTCTGTGCTCTTGGCATGACCAATAAATATAATAACCAAAATCTTTATTTGGGAACGGAAGAGCAACTTACGTTTCTGCTGTGGCTGTCCTTTTAGAGATGGTTCCGCTGTGGAAATTGTTGGCCTATGCAAATCAACCGTTCGCTGGTTACAGGAATTGTCAGAGAAGAAGATATTTCCATATCCTGGAGTTACTGTGAAAAGTGACGGTAAGCAAATGTAGCTCCAGTGTAAAATGGAAGTAGAAAAATGATATTACTGATAATAGTAATAAAGTGCCCAATATATGTTTTTTTGAATAACACTCAGAAAGCAACAGAAAGGATAGGACTTCCAACAGGAGTCAGCTGGATTCCAGTTCTCCCTAAATCAAGAAATGGTTGGGATGGAAGAGCAATGGACATTTCAGATAGTTAACTGGGATTGTTTTAAAGATTAAATGGGAACAAGCTATATAATCAGCTGTCTGTTCCATTGTAGAACAAAGAAAAAAATACATCTGATGTTATTCAGTACATGTGGGTTTGAATTTTTCTTTAAAATGTTGCATTTGCCTTGCAGTATTTACTTTGGTCCATGGTTCTAGAACTTTTTTTTTCTATTCTAGTACCCACCACTTGTACTAGGATTTCAATTTAATACATTTGGGGAGGGGAGCATCAGATTAAGCAAGACATTCTAAAATCGTGTTTTCATTCTTTACATTCCAGCTTTTTTTTTCTAGAATAGGGAACTTTATTTTTTCCATATTACCATGTGGATTAGTTTTCTGGAGATCTGTTGCGGTACAGCCATATATAGCTGTTTGCATGCTCTTATTTTAATTTGGATTCTGAGACACCCACAAGCTGCTTACTGCAGCAGAAATTTCCAGGATTTTTCTTCCCCATTTCCCTTAAGCCTTCATTCGTGCTGATTTATGGAGAGGATAAGAAATAATCTGAATTTGTCAATGCTAATGGTGTTCAAGTGGTGCTCCAGTTGTTTTGGGATTGCACCTAAGGCACCTATTACTATTGGTACTACCTTTGCTTGCTTTTGCCACAATCTTTCTATTTCTATTTGTAGGTCTTTGTATTTTGTTATCTTCTCCAGTTCTTTCTTGTCTATTCTCTGTCTCCAGGCACTGCCACATCCACTATCCAGACTTTTTTGTCTTTCTTATCGACAATTGTTAAGTCCGGGGTGTTATGTTGCAGGTGCTTGTCTGTTTGAATTCTGAAGTCCCAGAGCAGTTTAATTTTATCATTTTCTATGACTTTCTCTATTTTATGATCCCACCAGTTTTTGATTACAGGCAAATGATATTTTTTGCAGATCTTCCAATGCACCATTGTTGCTACTTTGTCATGCCGCTGCTTGTAGTCAGTCTGTGCAATCTTCTTGCAGCAGCTTACCAGGTGGTCCACTGTTTCTTCAGCCTCTTTGCATAGGCGGCACTTATTGTCTGTTGCTGTCTTCTCAATTTTGACTTTATATGCATTTGTCCTTAAGGCTTGGTCTTGTGCAGCCAGAAATTATTATTAATAATAATTAATTATTATTATAATACGTTTTGCTTCTCATCTAAGAAACTTCTTCAGTTCGTCAGGATGAGAAGCAAAACATCTTCAAGGGAAAAAACAAGAAAGTCCAGTTGGCTTTTGAAAAGCACCTTTGGGACACATGTGGAAGGGGTATTGTTATTAAAAAAATAAGATTTCCTCATCCATCTGATTCCATCCACACTAATATATCTGCAACCCAAAATTCTGTTTTCCGTCAGCTGTTTCTTTGCCTCCATACAGATGAACATAATAACCATTGTTATTATTAATGGGTCCTCCAGATAAAATGGGCTTTAGTTCTGTCCTGGAAATAGTGTCCCCGTTCAGAATGATAGTTAGCAACACTGAATCTGGAGAATTTTAGGTAATATATTTGTACGGTGATAGCATCGTATTTCTAATTACAGAATAGCTATGTCTTACCTGGATCTGTCCTTAATGATGCTTTTTATTTTGTTAGTCAATTACACAAAACTGATATTATTTTCCAGGGAGAGATGAGACTTTTACATATGATCAATGGAACAGAAAAATCCAAGCCCATTTCGAAAAGCTGTTTTTTGTCTCTGAAAACCCAAATGATCCCAATGAGACACATCCAACTCTGGTTCATAAGAGGGGCATATACAAAGACAGCTATGGAGCATCAAGTCCTTGGTGTGATTATCAATTGAGGCCAAATTTCCCTATAGCAATGGTTGTGGTGCGTATGATGTTTTTAAAATGACATGTGGTGTTTTTGCATATGTTTTTAACACTTGTTAGCAATTTTGAATATTTTTCAGTAGAAAAATTGGTTAAAATATTGGAAGATATAAAGATGATAGTTTGCTGGGAGAAGCAGTGGAATAGATGGGACTAGAAACAGCAGGGAACGCTTAGGGATCATGTTCTTCAATAAATAAGTTTGTGAAATAAATGTTATTTATAACGTGGGATATAACTTCATGACAATCTTGTGAGGACACTGCAAAGTATATCTTTTGTATTTAATTTTTCAGTATTCTTCTGTTGTTTATATGTGATGTATTTTTCTACTTTAAAAAAAAAAAAAATCAAGGCACCTGAATTGTTCTCTCCTGAGCATGCTTGGAAAGCACTTGAAATGTTAGAGAAAAAATTACTTGGTCCACTTGGCATGAAAACTTTAGACCCAGAGTAAGTATTTTATTATTTGTCAAATTACCAAAAAAAGTATAAAACAATTATAAAACATGAAAATATCAGACATTAAAAGCTAAAACATTAAAATTAATTTTGAAATGGATAAAAATCCAGTGCATAGACCGGGTGGAGGTGAGATCTTGTACTAGTTTACTAGCCACTTCCAAAACAGGATACCCACATCAGGATTCCAAGCCAGTTGACAAAACCAGATTTTCTGGTTCTTTTGGAAGACCTAAGAAATGATGGGCTGATCTTGCCTCATGAGGGATGATTGTCCAAAGGGCAGGAACCACAGCAAAAAAAAGCTCTTTCGGACCCTGGCAGCCACAATTCCTTGCCTGACAGAGTATGCATATTCTGCCAGAGTGAGTGGGAAGGGCCAAGTATGATGAAGACATGGTTGCATAAGAAGGCTTATCTAGTGTAAATTAATAAGTATCACTGTAAATAGGAGCTAAGTTTTAGTCAAGTGTACTTATTTTCCTGTCACATCATCATAGTTTAAAGAAATTCTGTAGTGGGAATTACATTGAAGATAGATTTGACTTAACTAATAATCAGAGGCCTAAGTCATAAAAGTTTTTCTTTGATTGTGATGGGATTGATTTTACAAAGGTCATAGCTGACCACTATTCTTTTTTATATTAGTTTCATTTGTATCCTGTTGTCTAGTCTGAAATATTGTAAAAGAGAATCAAGCAGCATTTTATCATTATTGTTTTCTTGATCCTTATCAAGAGAGCACATTCTGAGATGTGAACTGAACATTTTAAACAATAATGTCATAGAAATGTCATATTAGTACATTAGTGCAACATCACTGTTGTGTTAATTAATACAGCTTCGCTGCAGATAAAGAGATGTTGACATCATTTACACTCTCTTGCAGTGAATAATGTGTGAATAAATAAATATACTCCACTGAGAATAAGATTCATTAATATATAAAACATCAGATCTAAAATCCTATAAAAATTAATGACAAACACCATCTTAATGATATTTGTCCTAAGTAATTTCATAAAACCTGATGTCTCTTTCTCAGAAATATTGACTCTTTTATTTTTTTTCCCCTAGTGATATGGTTTATTGTGGTGTTTACAATAATGCCTTAGACAATGATAATTATAATGTGTCTAAAGGATTCAATTACCATCAAGGACCTGTAAGTATTATACTTTAGCAATTTTTATCAATTGATTTCAGATTTTCATTTTTCATATTAAAACATATTAAAATTCTGTTTTTTTTTTTAAGGAATGGCTTTGGCCAATTGGATATTTCCTTCGTGCCAAACTATACTTCTCCAAGTTAATTGGTACAGAGATCTATGCAAAGACTGTGTTTTTGATTAAGAACGTTCTTTCTCGCCATTATGTTCATCTTGAGAGGTAGCTTTTATTTATACAATATAAAATATTATTGTTGAACATCCATTTTGATAGCAAAATAGCTCTCACCTCATGAAAATATATATGTGTGTGTGGTGTGTGTGTGTGTGTGTGTGTGTGTGTGTGTATGTATATATATATATATATATATATATATATATATATATATATATATAGTGCAAACTTAAAAAGAGCCAGACAGACACTCTGCAGATGTTCAAGATATAGCTCAAACGCATAATAAAATAATTTAAATGATAAAAGCTTTTATAGGCTATTCCTTTCCTATAAAAAGGAACGGATATGGTTCTTTTAGTGACAAATGTATGATTCATTAGGCACAGCCTATGAAGTGTTTTTCAACTTGAACAAAAAAAAATCTGAAAAGTAACATCACATCAAAATTTGTATGTGTTAAAGTTAAATGTATGTAGGATATTATTGCTATTTTATTTTGCATACATGTACAGCTATTATAGATATCTTAGTTTAGTGCTGACTGAACTGGAATCATGAAGGCAGAACTGAATTCAATTTTAGACTTTAATTTAGTTTTTTGCACTGCAAATAAAATCAAGTCTGATACTTAGTTTGCTTTCAAATTCAATAACCAGTCAGGTGTTGAGGAATAGGTTGAATATCAATAAATCATACCTAATAGGAAGTTAGGGAATCAGGGAAAGTGAATTTTCTTCTTGCAGTCACACATGGAAATAAAGTAGATGCTGATCTTCAAAAGATTACTTGTGCTTTTGAACAAAATAAAATTCCCTGCGACTTATTGAAGAATATAAGTTCAGGGAATACCTTTTCAGCCACAATCATCTGGATGGCTACTGAAATAATAAATGTGCTTAAGGTTTACAAGGGGCTTAATACAGTTCTGATTTTCTATTTCATATCCTAATAGAATTTGTTCTTCAGAGAGTTTCTCTGAATTGAAACTCATGAGGAAAATCAATGTTTTGATAGGTTAGGAAAAAGCAAGAACTTGAGCTATATTCTCTTTCTTTTTCAGAAGATGATTTTTCTAGATACAAAAATTATTCAATCAGAAAGTTATTGCCTTTTGACTGGAAGCTAGATTAGTATGCATAGCTCTGCATTATTGGTTGGGTAGTGTCTGAGAACATTATTTTTTATCCTTTATTTATTTATTTATATCCCACTTTTATTGTTTATATAAATAACTCAAGGTGGCAAACATATCTAATATTCCTTTTTCCTATTTTCCTCACAACAACCACTCTGAGGTAAGTTAGACAGTCTAGGAATTCAAATGCAATAACTTGTATGCCTTGATGGCTGGACTGAGGCCTGTATACTTGGGAATCCAGCGCACTGGCTGAGCAGATTTCTGTATTCCAGACTGCATAAGAAAGGAAAAGATATTGATAAGGACACAGAAAATTTTTTTTCATGTTTTACAGATGCTTTAACCCTGAACAGCCCCTGAATTACAAATAAGAACCACTGGGTTGAGCTAATTTCATCTCTGGGTTCTTCATATCACTCTCATGTAGTCCTCGACTTAACAACTATTCATTTAGTGGTTGTTCAAAGTTACAGTGGCACTGAGAAAAATGACTTGCAGCCAATCCTCACACTCGCAACTATTGGAAAGTCAGATGATCAAGATTTAGGCATTTGGCAATTGAGGTGTACTTACGACAGTAGCAGCATCCCAGAGTCAACCTTCTTAGTCAGCTTCTGACAAGCAAAGTCTACGAAGGAAGCCAGATTCACTTAATGACCATATGATTTACTTAACAATTGCAGTGATTTGCCTAACAACAGGGCTGAAAAGTTTGTCAAATCAGTGGTGACTCTTAACAACCACCTTGCTTGGCAGTGGAAGTTGTGATCATAAATCAAGGACTCCATCTGTTCTTCATTTCAAATCATAGCCCTATTCCATTTAGAGCCGAAATGCCGCAACTGAATATCCCTCAGAATTCTATAGGAATGTATGTGTGCTCTGTAAAATTTTTTCTGTAATATGGGATTTTCCACTTTCTCTTATAAATACAAATTAATAAATATAAGCAGCTAATTAGAAATATGGTGGAAAAGATAAATTAATTTGTCTAACTCATATCTGCTCTGACAGTATCTTGTATTTATTTAAGATATGTTTTTCTGGTGTAATATATTTGCAGTTATTCAGATAGTAATATGTTGACTTGGTTTTTCTGCAGGTCTCCTTGGAAAGGGCTTCCAGAATTGACTAATGAAAATGGTCAATATTGTCCCTTCAGCTGTGAAACCCAAGCTTGGTCAATTGCTGTGGTCCTTGAGGTCCTCTGTGATTTATAACAGTAGTTGTCTGTCTTAAAAAACTTGCTAGCTTTTGTCTGGAATGCAAATAACGATGCTTGTCTTATTGTTAAAAGTCCTACTGATAGAAGTTGTTTATGCCTATTGTTCCTTGGCAATTGTAGGACTACATGAGTGTTCATCATTTGAGAATCACATCATAATTTTTAAAATCTGTGTGCATATTTTAAAATTAATATACTCAATATGTAAATCAAGTATAAAAGCATAGAAAGTTAGACTTTGATATGTTACAAACGCCACATATCTTCCCTGAAGTGGAGTTCTATTTCAGAAATTTCTTAGAATGACAGCCCCAATTTAAGGTGCTTCCATATAGGTAGCCCTAGATTTATGACCACTTGCTTAGTTCCAGTGAACTTACTTGGGGGATAGTTATAGCCCAGATTCAAAATTCTGACAATGGGTCCCACCACCGTCATGTGACTGCATTTTAGGTCCTTGGCAACTGGGCTGCATTTGTGGCTGTTTGCTGTGTCCTTCAATCGCGTGACCATGTTGTCCTATTGGTTCTTTAACAACCACGCATTCCCTTAACAACGCACTGCAGACGTTGTAAAAATCAGCTTTTTTTTACATTACAATCATTATGAGCTATGACCATGGTGAGCGGTCTCCATTACAGTTGTAATTCGAGTATTAGCCGAATTTGACATTCAAGAGCCTTAAAAACATAGTACATCAGACCAGTGGTCACATATTCTGTTCCCCAGTAGCTAATATTATAGAAATAACATCCCTCTGCTAACAGGACAGTTCCTTTCTATTGAGCTTTACTTGGGAAGGGAACCAGAGAAGCCCATTGTTTCCATCGCTGAAAGTACTGGTTAGAATGGTTAGTCACTATTAATAGCCTCAATCCTGGATGAATTTGTCAAATCCCTTCCAAAAGAAACTTGCCAAAACTATACCTTGTGTTAGTAAATTCCATAGATTAATCCAATGCTGCATAAATAACTTTATCTACTGTAATGTCTCGCCATTTCGCTGACCCTAGTGATATGCTAGTATTTTGAGAGAAAGAGGGAGGAATCTCTCCCACTCTATCCATAAAAATCTTAATAAAACCAATAAATACCGATCACCAAGAGGAAAGTAGTAAAAAATTATTTAATGAGCCGAGCTTTCGTTGGGACCACTCAACATCGTCAGGGCTTTAAAAGTAGTCACTGGGAAGGAGCCTTTATACGATGTTAGCAGCCTGTATCCGGCTTCTAGAACCTGTTATTGGACCCAGCTGATCGTGCCGTGACTCAGATATACCACCTACATCAGTGCATGATGTTTTCCCATGTCTCCTCCATATTTTACTGTAAGTATTCTCCTCGTTAACTCCAGGGCTAGAGGGAGTTCTTTCCCCTTTGCTTGCCGATGGTGATTGTCCCCCTCCCCCCTCGTCCTCCTGTGTATGGCATCATACTTTGGAGGGGGTGCAGTTCTTCTTTAATCCCACCATGTGCCTTGACCCTACTGTCAAATTCCTCCGTCCTTTGTAATCATGACCGGGGCGTGCTGCCGCCTTTTTGCAATGCATTCCCCTATCCACGGGCGCCACCCCCATCTGATTATCCAACCCCACGGCCCCCTCACCATGTCCATCTAAGTATTTCTTTATTACACAAGTGGTTTTTTACTACTTTCCTCTTGGTGATCGGTATTTATTGGTTTTATTATGGACATACCCAAGAGTTAAACTTTTAGCTTTATAACTCATCAATATGATAGAGCAGTTTTGCTCTTAGCTAGGCGCTGGGAGAAGCTCACATGCCGTATCTCGGCTTGCTATCAGAAATTGCCCTTCCTGCATACGTGCATGTGGGAGGATTTACCACCTAAATCGTTAAGGAGGAGGCTCGTGTTGGACTCTGTGGAATGCCAACAGGCACTTCGGCAATACCAATGCCGTACACTCCGGGCACTTGTTAACGACCAACACAGACAGGCGGAGACTCTGAAAGTGTGGTCTAGAACTATCACCGCCATCACCGCAAACAGTGTGGTCTAGAACTATCAGAACAGCACTTTCAGGCGCTTGACCAACACATCCGGTCCGTAGCTGAGAGAACCAGTCGACTAACCAACATGCGTCTTCAAAACAAGGTAAACGCCCTACGTGAGTTGAAAAGCAACGGGTTCGCAGACAAGCTGGTACACAACTTGTCCTCTAGAAGGCTAACACATTCTCAACTCACCTTGCTGCAGCGCGATGTAGGACATAACCTCATGGATGCACACTTGTTGGACTTCATAGCAGCTTTAGAACCTGCCATATATCACGGGGGTGTAGGGGAGGATTCCAGAAACTCTATAAAACAGCAAGTTACTGGACTGCTTATGCAACATAGGCATTACCAGACCCTATCCAGGGAGGAGACTGTGGCCCTAGAACAACTCAGAAGGGATGAGTCTATAGTTGTATTACCGGCAGATAAAGGCAGGGCCACTATGGTAATGGATAGAGCGCTGTATATGGCCAAGGCATTAGAACTCCTTGATGATACAACGGCCTATAGAGTGGTTGGGAAGGATCCCATGGTGCCTATGATGAACAAGATCAACAAATTATTGAACAACTTTAAGCGTGCCAAAAGAGTAGATGAGGACACCTTAAGGAGAATGCGTCCTAAGGATTCAGCTCTCCCCAGGTTTTATGGACTTCCTAAAATCCATAAAGAAGGTACGCCGCTTCGCCCTATCATCTCCTTTAGGGGTACGCCCATTTCTGGATTAGCGAAGTGGCTGAGTGAACGCATTTCCTACCTGGTGGAGGATAGTCCCACCACAATTAAATCTGCAGAGGAGTTCTTCAGTAAAATCTAGACCCTTAGGGTGGAGGAGGACGAGGTGATGGTGTCGTTTGACGTCACCTCACTCTTTACCTCCATCCCTCGGGGTCTTGTGATGGCTGTTCTTAAAGAACAGTTGAAGGTACGAGAAGGCACTCAATGCCGAGACTCCCTGCGCGTGGAAGACTTGTTAAAACTCATAGAATTCTGTTCGTATTTCACCTTTCAAGGTGTCGTATATGAGCAGATAAAAGGCACCCCCATGGGCTCCCCTATATCCAGCATGATAGTAGAGGCAGTCCTCCAACAATTGGAACATGAGGCTATGTCCCAATACCGGCCCAAGTTTTGGGCCCGGTGTGTAGACGATACTTTTGTCGTTGTTAAACGATGCGATAAAACCAACTTTATGGGAATACTGAACTCAGTCTATCCAGACATTAAGTTTACAGTGGAGGAGGAGAACTGGGGCTCGATAGCTTTCTTGGATGTATTACTCCAACACTTACCAGATGGTTCTGTAAGCACGAAGGTCTATCATAAGCCCACCTACACGGATCGAATCCTTCACTATAACAGTAACCATCCAGTGGCCCATAAAGTTGGCTGCATCAAAACACTGTTTGGGCATATACACTTGCACTGCAGCATGATGAAATCTAGAATGGAAGAGAGGAGACATCTGTACCGTATCTTTCGGTTGAATGGATATCCGTTGAGTTTTATAAGACGCCATAGTAGGGCACTTGGACCTCAACGTAATCATGAAGAGGAACCTCAAGGGCAGACCACGCGCATCACCTTACTGTATATCAGCAATGTCTCCGAGGCCATGGCTAGATTGTAGCCCGGACCAGACTTTGTGATCAAAGATCATGCACCCCAAAGACCAACTCCCCACCGCAGAAAGATCAGCGGTGGTATATAAGATTAAGTGCATGGATTGCCCACGTAACTACGTGGGTGAAACATCCAAGAGGTTGAAGACTCGCCCGCACGAACATGAGTTGGCAATCAAGAGGGGCGAGCAACACTCGCAGGTCTGGTCACATATGGTTGAAAATGGCCATCGTTTTGATTTTGACCATGTTCAGATCTTAGCAAGTGATGCCACCAAAGGGGGCCAATTATTAAAAGAGGCGTGGTTCTCTGGAAAAGACTCCATCAACCGGCATATAGATATGTGCCCAGCACAGCAAGCATTAAGAGCATGGCACATGAATCGGCCCCTTAATCGCCAGAGAGGATTAACGTATGGGTCGTGCCCAGACCGGGAGGGGAACATTGCTACTGCTTCATTACACAACCAGATCGATATGGACTCTCATGCTCTCCCGTGGGCTACATCTGTCTGCCCCGTGATGGACCAACGGCCGCGAAAAACCTCCCCGGATAGTAAATCGTATAAACACATCATGATGACCCGATCCCACCAGAAGAGGGAAAGGGATTCCCAGTTGACTAACGGGGATGGCTCCCATGATCAGGGGGAGGAGGAGATTGTTGCCGATAAACGGGATGGAATAGTCATGCTGAGAGACGAAGGGACGAGTAAAGACCTTTTGAGCTGCTGCGGTAATGCGTGCCTGACGTGCTTGGCGCTAGGAGCGCGACATCAGGAGCGAGGAAGCTCCCCGGCGGACAGGAATGAACAAGAGACTGGCCGGTTGCGTGTTGGTCATCAACGCACTGCCACTTGTGTAATAAAGAAATACTTAGATGGACATGGTGAGAGGGCCGTGGGGTTGGATAATCAGATGGGGGTGGTTCCTGTGGATAGGGGAACGCATTGCAAAAAGGAGGCAGCACACCCCGGTTGTGATTGCAAGGGATGCAGGAATTTGACAGTAGGGTCAAGGCACATGGTGGGATTAAGGAAGAACTGCACCCCCTCCAAAGTATGGTGCCATACACAGGAGGACGAGGGGGGAGGGGACAATCACCATCGGCAAGCAAAGGGGAAAGAGCTCCCTCTAGCCCTGGAGTTAACGAGGAGAATACTTACAGTAAAATACGGAGGAGACATGGGAAAACATCATGCATTGATGTAGGTGGTGTATCTGAGTCACGGCACGATCAGCTGGGTCCAATAACACGTTCTAGAAGCCGGATACAGATTGCTAACATTGTATAAAGGCTCCTTCCCAGTGACTACTTTTAAAGCCCTGACGATGTTGAGTGGTCCCAATGAAAGCTCGGCTCATTAAATAATTTTTTACTACTTTCCTCTTGGTGATCGGTATTTATTGGTTTTATTATGGACATACCATAATAGAGTCGAATTTTTAGCTTTATAACTCATAAAAATCTTAATATATCTCTAACCTTTGTCCCCCTCCCTTGTAAAACTTTAAAGACAACTTTCCCTCTATTTTTCTACAATAGGGCATAATTAATTTGGAGCTAGACTTTAGTTTTCTGTGGCTTATACACTCCATATGGGAGTCCTTGCACTGCTCATTCAAAATCATTGAAAATCTCAAAGCATACCCAATGGAGAAGGGTACTTTAATTTAACATACAATGAATGCCTATAAAAATACTCTTGCTTTGAAACCTACAAATTGTTTGTCCGTGCTGTATAATAAAATCCCAAGTTTCCTCAGGTTATAATATAGGAGTAAAAGAATCTCATAGACTAAGTTTGCATATTGCCAACTTTTGAAAGTTGCAATTGGAGATCTACTGTATTTAGAATCTAATTTAATGTATAAATATAAAACTGAAAGGAATCAAGATTGAGGGGGAAATCAGTTGCCCGTAAGATGAAGAGCTTTCCTCGGAAGTTGAAAGGAGCAACAACTTTAGTTTTTAAAAGTTGACTTTCAAGTCATGTTTAAATTATTCACTACTTGCACAGGCACTCACACTAAAATTTGCTGCATTGCAGCTATCCACAACTGTGCAACTCCTTCAGTGTAGGTCTGCTACAATTATGTGAAAGGAGAACCTAGTGAATTGGGATCATCTGCATAAAAGGCTTGCCATTCCGAAGATATTTCAAGAAGCTATTTACAGGCCTCCCAACCTGACAGTTGTTTGTGCATTAGCCCTGAGTGGAACTTATAGGAAGGCAATTGCTTTTTAGCAGAAGGTTGGAAGAGATTCGAGCCCTCAATTTAAGTCAATTTGTTCTAAGTACTTTAAATTAAGGCTTAGTGAAATCAT